TCTCTTTTTTCTGCGAACTTTAATCTACTGTCCAACACGGCGTTAAGTTTTTATTCAAAGGCATAATACTCTTTTGGCTTCTCTGGGCCTTTTTTCAAGGACTTATCCATGTTTAGAAAATGTTTGAAAAATATTGACACAGCCATTATGTAGCGCGCTCAAATTAATAGCAATGGCATGGCAAACACTCCAGCCCAGGGATGTCTTTCAGGTGCGAACTTTCTCTTTTGGCAAATCTCTTAAATGCTGTTGGCGTGTATGTACGTGTCTTTGTTGGCAAATTAACACACACATTCAGGGGCATACGTGAGCCTACACAAACATATACACTGGCGGGCAAACAAAGGACCTCACCCACCAATGCGGGCGGTGTATTTATTTGCGCCTTTGAGTGGTTTACGCCCAACTGCCTGCCAGCTATCCTGCCGCCACATCCTTCCACTCCTTTCACATGTCACTCGCCGGTTTTCATGGCTTTTTTTATGCGCTTGCAAATATATTTGCTTTCACTTTACACTTTTGCAAACAGTTTTTTAAACAACTTTGGTGGCGAACTTACTGAATGAAAGGGGTGCATATTTATGAGTTTAATTGGAGTCCCGCCATTCAACGTTCTTTTCTAAAAGTATTAAAAGCCTTTGGGCAGACTCGGCGAAATGTTTTGTGGAGCTTACTGAGGTAATTGGGACTATCTGATCAGATCCCCTTAACCTTGTAAAATAGAAGGCTGCTGAAGGTTTTAAATCAAAACATTTCCCCATTTACTTTGTGAAAAAGGTTTGTTCTTACTCAAGTGCTAAGATTTTTCCGTGATAATTAATCCACCAGAACCAACTACCTTCTAAGAGCCTTCAGCTACTATCATCTCAGTTTAAATATTCATGTTTGTCGTTTTATAATCCTTAATTAAGTCAATTACCTGTCTGTTTTCAGTTCATTAAAAAAGTTGTGAAGTTGATTGACGCTGTGTGGTTGCATATTGCATACGAAAGCAATCTTTAAAAGTCTTACGCACCATTTGGAAGGCTATTGTTTTACTATTTTGTAAGAGGTATGAAGGCATCGCAGCTGGCCATTAATAAAGATAAATGGAAAGTTTTCATAAACGCTTGCGTTCTATTTGGTTATTGTTAGCCAGTTTGTTGGGCAAACAAAACTTTTTACCCATCTAGTTTAAAATCAATAAACAAGGAGTATATTTTACCATATTTTCGGAAAATTATGCAATGTAAATAGATATTTGCAGGAACAAAGATAGGAGGCAGTGTTCGGCGAAAACTTCAAAATGAAAAATACAACAAAAGATATGAAATTATTGTAAAATAAGCAAAACCAGACAACAATCAACTTTTTCCAACAGACTGTGCACTTGCCGCTTTTCGCTTGTTTTTCAGCTTTCCAGACACACCTGTTACCACAACACCAACAATACAACACCTTGCCTAAAGTTTTCCGTTTGCACTGCAGTTTTTCCGAGTTTCGGGGTTTGTTTCCTTGTCAATGCAAAATGGTTGAAGGGAAGAACAAAGAACGTCTCCACTTGATAATACTCGCTGGGATTGTATAATGAAATCAAATTGCAAAATAATTTGCATTTTATACAATAAAGTTTTTGTGTTGTTCTCAACGAGAACGAAAGATGTGGGAATGGGGGAATGAGTCGTGGTTGTTTATATTCCTATAACTTTTGGCTTATCTGTATATTTGATAAAAATCAATATGAATATATACCAATAAGCAAAGAGCACAGTTTCTATGATTTTAATAGTCATTTTTGCAATAAATAATATTAAAGTTTAGTTGAATCTTTTCAGGGATACTTTTATACATCTATATGTGAAATAGTGTAAGTTCATGACAAAAGAAATTAGCTTGTCATGTGAAATTATGCTTTTGAATGCTTAATTACCCAATTAACGCATATTTACCACTGCGTGGCTGTAAAATTATGCCAAGAGATGCCACTTAAACTTGACATGAACAAAACACTAATATAACAAGAAGATGGCTTGCATGTCCTTTCGCATGAACAGCTCATAAAAATGCGATGCGAGCTGACAACACTTTTGTGCTTTATGTGTGGGACGAGCCCCTCCTAATCGCATTCCACCCATACAGAAACCCCCCATTTCAACCCACCTGTTTCAGGTTTCATGCCCACAGTCCTTTCTGCCCAATGGGGTGCCAGAGTTTGTATGATATATCGCATATGTGACTTAAGGGGATTTTCCCCTACTCAATTTGACTGGAGGGATGTGTTAATTACAGAAAAATTGCGAGAATTTGTACTATTTACTTTGCTATCAGAGGAGAAGCTGGGCTTTTCTTTGTTCGTCTCTTGTTGCGTGTCTCTGGTATAATTGCAGCTGTGCCTCTGAAGGACGTTGTCAAGGAAATCTCAGCCGTTTCAACATTTTTTGAACAGGGTTAGCTCCTGAGTGTGTAAGCTGGGTGTTGCGTTTAAATATAAATGAACTGTACATTTAAGATTTTTTAAATCCATTATATTCATTTTTGTTTTTGTGTGAAATCCGTTTAATAATTTATCACCCTCTATGAACTGCTTTGTTGCTTTAAACGTTTTATTGCACAACCTAATATTTTACACTGTACGTCACAGTAAAATATTGAAGACATAAGAGTTTGTTCTTTTGTTGAACAATAAATATTGATTCAATGTTTATTATTTGTATTTATTTTGGACTTGGCTTCGGCTAATCTTCACTCTATTTAATATTTATAAAAACGGCATTCTTCTGCGTGTAGCAATTATAACAAAATTTCAATGGGCAGCTTGAATCAAGGTTTCCTATCATCCGTTCTGGCCTTTTGGCATTTTTCTTTGGATTCCAGTTTAATTGTCTTTTGCGATTTGGCCAATGTTTTTATCGTGTGTGTGCGTGTGTGTGTGAGAAAGAGTGTTTGCGGCATTGTCCTTCCGATTCTTGTTCTTGGTACTTGGTCCTTGGCTCTGTTGTTATTGCATTCCTTTGCTTTGGTTTTTCGCAGCGCGTAAATAAATTTCATATCATGACATTTATTACTGACCCTTAAGCCCCCACCGCCACCCAATCCGCAATCCAAAGCCCACAAGCCCGATACATGTGGGCCTGGAGATTACCAACAGTTTTCCCCCGCCCCTTCAACTCCCGCCTGTTTTTCCCATTCCCAACGGTTTCCCAATGGCTTTTTGCACAGCCGCAGCGGTTACAATTTTCATTAAAGATTTGTTTTCGCTTTTTTAGTTGTTTTTTTTTTTCGCTTTTTTTTTGGTTCCTTGTGTCAGTTCCTCTTTGGCCTTACACACACACACTCGCACATTTGATTTATTTTAGCACTCTGGGGGCGGGGCAGTGGGCGTGGTGGGGCAGGTTAAAGGGCGAACAATGATGAGAAATGCAAAACAAATGCAAAGGAAATGAACGAGGCCTGAAATGAATGCGCAATGAATGGCCCAAACGAATGAAAAGTGTGTGGAGATGAAGACGAAGATTAAATGTAAGTGGACGTCGCACAGAAACAATTGTAGTTAATTTACGCGTAGAGAGAAATGCATAACAAATTAATGAGAATTCCAACGTAAATAAACGCACTGAAGAAACGAAATATCACAGTTCTGGGTTTCACAATGCATTAATTAAAAAGTATTGTGAAAATAAAAGCGAACTCAACCGCATTTTTTATTGATGCACTATTTGAAACCAAATAAAGTATGAACGTTGAAAATTAAGTGTTATAAGTTATAATAAAATTTTAATGTTTTTAAAGCACATTTTATGTACATTTACATTTACATTTTCTTTGATTTCAACACTTGAAAATAGTTTTGAATATATATCTCACCGTTTTAGAATGCAGATGATTGGCGGTTAGATTTATTTTTCCGGTGCAGGGAAAGAACTTAAGACTCGGTCCTTGCCCCAAGGCCTCCTTTGTCCTTTCGAGTATCCTCTCTTTCAAAGTTTACTTGACTGTGAAATAAGCGGACAACGAGAGAGATCTCGAGTCTGAATGGAAGGCAGTGAAAGGAATAAAAAAAAAAAAAAAAAAAAAAAAACGCATTGTCTTTGTCTTTTGCATAATTTATTTATATTTTCATTTTCATCGGGCGTAATTCGCGTTGTTAAAACGGAGAAACGGCGGCGGGCAGATGCCTACATTTCCGGCTCGGCAAATAATTACAAGCTTAATAACAAATTTAATATTGCCCGGCCTCGAAGGCCGGTCATTTTATTTATTGTTCAGCCTTTGTGCCTTCCTTATCCCTTTTGCACGTGTCCGTGTGTGGGGAAGGACCCACCTTGAACTGTTTATATTCGCACACGCTGCTTGCCTTTTAATGAGCCAACAACAATGAGCATGTCCTTCGTCCTGCGACCCTTTTATTTGCTGCCCATTCGCTTACAGTCGCTTTCATTGAAGCTCAAGCTCCATCACACACACACACAAACACCCACGCATAAAGGAAATCGTCCTTTTGGCCTTATTTACACTTGTCAACCCCCCAAACTCCGGCAGTTGAACATGCCGTTTGTCGCTCTTTAAGTCGTCTGAAGAGCTGTTGGCCTTGCAATTAGTTGAGGAGCATGTCAGGCTTTCTTCTGCTTGTTCCGCCTGCTGCAGCGCCAATTTTGATGACAATGTTTCACTTCGCCCGGGGGCAACTTCACTGTTGCTCACTTCAAAAAGTTCCCGGAGAACGTTACTTAGATGATTCTCTGACTAATTGCCAAGTCAAGTTCTCGGGCAACTATAAGGATACTCAAAAAAAAAAAAAAAAAAACAAATAGAAAACAAAATCCGATTGTGTTGGACTGCAGCAAAAAAAAAATATTCAACAGTATTTTGTTATTTAGTCTTATTTGGGCATTAAAATATTTATTGTAAATTTTCTTTGCGAAGATTAGGTTTATTTTTTTACAAGAGCGGTCAAGAAAATATTGGTATGTGTGCAAATTCTTGACATTCATCAATTTAAAATTAACCATTCTACCTTTGCTTTAATGCTTTACCTGCTGACATACGTATGAATAATTTACCTAGCAGACCGAAATTTGAAAAAGTTATATTTACAAAATCAAAAAAAATCTACTGTTAAAATCTGAACAATGGGTAAGAATTACCATCCATTAAGAAGGTAATAATAACACTAACCTGCATCCTGAAGATGTCGAGAAAAAGTCGGAAATGCATCTGGATCCACCGCTCTTTTTGACCTGCGATTTGGACGAGTTTCGAGATCCAAACAAGAAACGTGCTGCCAATGAAGCTTGCGAGGAGTTGGACAAGTTGGATGCCCAGGATGAGATCAGTGTGTCCAGTATTATCTCAGCCTTGTTGCGACCCATCGAACCATCGGATGATCAGTACAAAGTGTGCGATTGGGGAATCAATCCCAAGCATTTCCTGCCTATCAAACACGCGATCATCTTCAAGGAGCAGTTATTCATCTCAAAACTGCGAAACACCAACTGCAAGTTGAATGAAAACCTTAAGGTCTTTTTCGAACGCGAACTGGAGCAAATTGGGAAATTCTGTTTGAACGTGGAGGAGTCCTTTGATGGCTATGTGGTTTTCAGTAGCAGCAAAATGAAGAAGGGCAAGGGTTTGGTGGAATGTGGCCATCAGCTGAAGGGAAAGTACGATGATAAGTTCTTGTTGATTTGTGAGAAGAGGTCAGAGTTCGATCGCATCGACAATACTCGTGTGGAAAAGACATTGGAACTTAGAAATCATGCTGATTTGATGCTTACTGCGATTCGGGAGACGAAGATAAACGAGGAAGTTCAGAGATTCAAGGCTCGAATTGATATCAAGGATCGTGATCATGTTTTCGTCCTTGATGGAGGAATAATGCTGCTGATGCGTCACTTGGTCTGTAACAATTTTGTGGGCAACTTTGAGTACTATACAATGAATTTATATGGAAGGGTCCTGCGCTGTAATCTTATAGTTTCCAAGGAGCGTAAGATTGTGAGGATATTCTACCGCACCTATAAGAATGTCGTGCACATTTACACACAACACTGCTTCAACGACGAACTGCAGGATGTCGCCGAGACCTTCATGACCGCAGAAGGTCGAATCGTCCTTCACTACTGGAAGGGATACAATTATCTCCTTCATGCCGCCTGCATGCCGCCGAAGAGAAAGGAAACCATCTTGCCCAAACTGGAGCTCATGTGGCGCCAAAACGAGCAGTTGTCACGGAAATTCCGGGAGCTCAAGGCCCTTAACTACGAAAATGCCACCAGCTATCTGAGCAGCAACTCACAGCTGGCCGATTTTATGCAGGACTATGTCCTCAATCTGCTGCGATACAAGCCCGCCAATGTCCTCGAGTTCTCCATCATGTTCTTTCAGAATATGGCAAAATGAAATTGAGTCTATCAAACGGGGTTTATTTTTTGCTAAATTGCTAGTATTCAGTCGAGAATCGTCAACTACTAGTATATGTTTTTTATTTTTAGCGGTTTCAAAATAAAAGTTTACCAATATAAAAATTAGTAAAAAAAAAAATTCTTAAAATCTGTATTAAACCAACAATATAGTAACCGTTGCTATCAACCCAAAAAAAACAATGACGCACCCCAGCAACCCACTATATTTGTTTGTAAACTTCAAACAATTACTCAAAATTTTCAGTTCTAGTCTGACTCAAACATCAAACAATACACACTCGTAGTTCAATTGAATTCCATTACACTTTTTTGTAATTTTTTCAGTTATTTAAAAGCTTACACAAAATGAATTGTTTTGAAGGGAAGACGCCCGAGGGGAGGGTGGAATGTGGCAAGAAAATCGAGTTGAATCCGGGACCTGAGTGTCCTGCTCCGCTGATTTGTCCACTGCCAACGGAGCCGCCCTCCCATCGATTGAAGAAGGCACCCCAACCAGCTCTGGTGGCCTTGACCCCTCATCCCGATGAAGCCGCCCAGCAGCACCTGCTGCAAAATATGATGGCTGCCGCCCAAGAACACCAGAAGCTTCAGGGTGACCTTCAGGCGGGAGTTGACCAACAGCAAATGCAGATGGCCGACATTCGAGCGGATCAATTCCAACAGTCGCAGAAGCCGCTAAGAATGGAGGAAGTGCAATTTGCCGTGAGTTCGACAAAGTTTTAATATAATACAGCTTAAACTCATGAGCTCAATAATTTACTTTAGTATATGTATTAATTATTAATACAACCCGATCATAAAAATGATCTATTATATTTCTCATTTTATTATTATTTTCTTTTACAGCGATCTGTGGACCCCGAAGCAGATGACCTGCGAAATCCCCCGTGCTATTTGCCTCAACAGGGTGACGAGCTGCCTCACAAAGACCAGCTGATGCCAATGGGTCCGATTGGTCCCTGGGCATCCGGAAAGGTGGACTGGAGTCCAATGGCTGGCATCACGGGTACTCGTCCAGTTGTGGATCGCTATTCGATCACCCGATACAGTCCCAACGAGTGGCGCACTAGGAATCACGAGACGGTGCAGAATGTCAATAGCAGCCTAATCAGAGCAGATAAGTAGGGATAAAATAAATAAAGCCATTACCTTGAACAAATCTCTATAGCAAGAAATATTATTCCATAGAAACCGCTTCAGTTCGACCACCGAGTATCTGAGACTTTCTGCTTTGGTGGCCAAATCTCAAAATGAAACCACCGAAAAACTGAGGATCCGTTCGCAGCTGATTGGCAAATGGAAGAATACTCTGGAAAATGCCATTAAGGCGATGGCTGATGAGATCTCCACCATGGAAGTGGAGCGTATTAAGCTGCGGAAATCAATGGTGGTTCTTGGGGTTCCCGAATCAATTGCAAAGGAGTGCATTGAAAAAAGAACCACGAGGCCAGACACCGAATTGGTTCGCGATCAAGTTGAAGAGGAGTTGATCAACGAACTGGCATTGATTGCAGAAATCCGAAGGCTGTTGATGAAAACTCTGGATGATTTCAATACGCAACAGGTGGAGAATCGCACGGCTCGTCAGCGCCTTGAATACGATTGGAGTGACAAGAAGGAGGCTTATGAGATTGATACCCTGAACACTGGATTAAATAACAGTTCGAGAACCATAATGTTCAGACCTGGAGCGGTGCGACAGCCACCGGAACAGGCATCCGAGAAGTACTGGGAGCACTTCAGCATGGAGACCTTGGATGAGTGTGAGAAGTGCCGCCTTAGATCCGTGAGCCTGCGAAATACCCTCAATGCAACCATGATGAATGCAGCCAGGGATATTCGCACTCAGGCTGATGTGGTGGAAAAGGCACTGACCTCCAGAATCAACTGCACTCAAGAAGCAGTGCAGCGTTTCGAGAATGACCTCAAGAATGTCCTGCAAGGACTCGCCGATGTGGAGAATCGCATTGAGCAGATGAAACGACGCATTGGCACCTTTGATGCCTCCATGAAAGTGGCACAGACGCGCATGGACAATCGCGGCTATCGGCCAAATGTGGAGAACTGTCGCGATTTGGCCCAACAAGAGCTCATTGATGGCGTTCACACAATCCAGAGCAGTGTTTCCGCTCTTCTCCATGAACTTGAAGAGGCTGAAAGGGTTAAAACCGATTTGGTCAACTCACGAGCCCGTCTTGAGCGTGAGATTATGTTGAAACGACGCAGTCTGTTCATCGATCGGGATCGTTGCATGTTAATGCGATCGCATTATCCTTCGGCGAATACTCTAAGCGGAGCAGCCGCAACATAAGCAAAGGTCTTCTCCACTAGGAGTTGTATAAATTTTGAGGTATTACCAATTTGGCAGGAGGCTCTAAATTGAAAGGTTTTTAAGAGGAAAAAAACTGGGTTTTTATAGCAACAATCTCTGACTATATGGATATTCTAAATTCTCAAGTGCAACCGATAATTAATGTATTCATTTTAACACGACCACAACGCATCACTTATGTAATCACAATAAATGACATACATAAAATTTTTTTTTAAATTCGGTAACTTAAGTAATAAAACCAGTATCAGTAAATTTAATCCACAAATCAATCTCTAAATACTTTCATATTTATTATATTTAATCTGCTAAACCCATTATCTGTGTTTTCATTATTTGACGACGCCACGTTATTTTAAGCACCTTGGGCGCTCTCCTGCTTTTAAAAACAATGCCATTTAAGCATCTAATTTGCGGAATTCGGTATTAGCCCCGGAGCTCTTAAGTTCTTTTTAATAAATGCAATAAAATGCCATTAGAGGGCAATCAGACACGTCTGGAAATCCATATAACTGAAAGAAATATGTTGCCAACTTCCCGGCGCCCTCCACACACGTTTCTGGCCCGAGTACTTACCGAAACACGTTCAACAGCTAGAACAACACGTACTCAATTTGGAGATACACGCCCGGCCGCCGGAAAAAGAAGGGGGCGGGGCAGCGGGCCGATATTGATACGGAGGTAGTTGAACATTCGTTAATGTTTGCCTTCCTCGGAGCGGCAAATATGGGGACAGTTTGGCCGCCCAGTCCCAACGATGCTCGGGGTGTTTGAAGTACATGTGAAACTCGGGAACTGGGAAGCCAATAAATTACAGAGCAACCGAGGGCAGCGTGTCGGAATTTCCAATTGAAAATGGGAAAACGTTATGGCTCATTGGGGCTATTCTCTCCGCTTTGCATTGTAGTTGCCGTATTTGTCTACTATTGTCTAAAGGTCGCAGCAATGCACTGCCTTTTTCCTGAGTACACTAAAAGAAAAACAGCGAAGGTATTTGAAATGTGATATGTCGCCTGTCTGTCGTGCATTGCGTGTGTTTTGGTCTTGTCTCTAGAATTTTCCTTCCTTCCGCATACGTGCAAAACACTCGTCGGCCAAGATTTATTGCCAGGGGACGTGTTGTTTTTCATGTTGGTCAAAGCTGCCACGACCGAAAGGGTTGATGGCTTGGGGAAAATATTTCCAGATGAATTCCCAGCAACGACTGCAGCTTTTATTCTTTTGCCAAGGTCAAGGATAGTTGAGAACGGACAGTCGATGATGGATCTGCAAATGGCTGTGTTCTTTGCTTTATTTTAATTGCTGGGCAAACTTTCGGTAGTAGAAAGCCAAATAAATTGATATATAAAATAATTGTGTGCTCTCTTTCTTTACCACCACTTAAAACTAATTTAATCTACTGTGTTTCGCCACAAGTAATTTAAAGTTTAAATTTTCAACAAAACGGAATTTGCAAGACAAGTCCATTACCACAAAGCAAGTCTCTGGGGCATCAAAGAGCCATTACTCAAATTTTCCCCTCTCCGAGAGCCACGGGCTGTCTTAAAAGGGAAATATCGTTTTTCTTATGTTTGCTGTATGCTGTTAATATTTCGTAATGCCGGTAAAAATCACAGCGTGTGGTTATCGCAATCCACTAAAAAACAAAAAAAAAAAAACAACAAAAAACCGCAAGTAAAAGGAAGCATTGCATACATTTTGGCGCTGTGGCGCGCTCGCTAAAATGGGCGACTGTTTTTGTCCCGGCACCATGTGGCTAAGAAAAAATCTGTTGCATACTGTTTGCGGTGAAACGCAAAAAATGTTATATTTCTGCCGCCCCGCTGGGAAAATGTGAAAAAGAAATGCGAAAATGTCCCAAAAAATAGTCAACATGAGGCTTTAAAAAACTGTTTGATCTTCCGATGAAATTTGTGTGTGTAGTATGTGTGTTTTTTTATGCATATATGGCCCAAAGCTTTATTCTATGGAACGTTTAAAGTTGAAAGCTACTCGAGTTAAAAAAGTTTTCATGAAACTATTCCCAGTTGGAGATGTAAAGTTGAATGCCACACCTTCGACCCTGGGAGGCCATAATTTAACTTCAACGCAGCAAGACATGCAATTTAATTTTAACAAAACCTGACATTATCACACCAGCCAACAACGGGCCCGGCTCTACACACACACAAATACAAACACACTAACACACACACCCACACATTCACAAACAAGGAGTTGGGACAGAAGGAGTCGCCGAGCGTTGCCGGCAACACAAAGTTAGTAACATAATAAGTAGCAATTTTCGGTTTCCGCTTTCCGGGCCAAGCGGCAGCAGCGTCAGTGGCTGCAACCTACCATAAAAATACATAAAATGGCTCCGGCTAAAAGAAAACCAAGAGCAGAGCAGAGCAAGAAAAAAAAAAATAGAAGAAGGAAACCCATCCGCACTCTTGTGCCATCCCAGCATTCCGGACTCCAACTCCAGATGCAGGGCAGAATGCCAGCCGGAATCGGTTGCTCCGGAATCAGGGATCGGGATTGTGCGGCAGGCAGGCGGCCAGGCGGGCAGGAGGCGGCTCTCGTTGCCAAGAAAGTATACTAACTGCATGCGGAGTAAATTGGTATTTTATAGTTGCAGCCTGCAACTGCTGGCTGCGCTGCACAGGTGCCGCCAGCTGCTCCTCGCTGAAACTGAGACGTAGATGCTACCTTAAACTTGGAATTCCAAGAAACGGCTTCGCCAAAAGGCGAATATTGATACACAATAGAATAAATCTGAGCATAGCTTAATTAAACTATTTTTTCTTTTCTTTCAATTATTTAAAATATATAACAAATAATATAAATAATAAAATAATTCAATACAATTTTTGATTTGGTCACCCAAACGTTTTAATAAAAATATGCTTCAACCTTAGTCTTGTATGAGTAATATAATATTACCCACGTTTTGTACCCTAATTATTATATCGTTGTGAAATAATTAACCTAATTAATATTGTTGTAGCCAATTCTGATCAAGTTTAACAAGACTCAAGTCTGTTGGTTGTATATCCTTCGTAAATATAAAGAGTTTTTTTTTAATTCGGCTCAGCCCTAATAGGATTTAAAATGATCCCTTTCGGCAGCTCCTTTGAGAATGCCTTTCCGAGAACGCCAGCCGTGGATAATCCCGGGAAATGAAATGCCGCTGACTTTGCAAAGGCAGCCGGCTAAATTAGTTGCCGGCCACCTTCCGCATTCATGCCAAAGTCACTCAAAAGCGACGACATCGGCGACAACGACGACAGCGACGACGATGATGATGATGGGGGTGATGGGTGGCAACGGGGGCGTGGCAGTGGGCGGGGAAGGACAACAAAGGTTGCCGGGGCTCGTTAGCATTTTACAACACTGGCATCGGCTGCAGCACGTAGCTCCTAAGATGATTTGTGACCAGCTGCAACTTTTTGTTGCCGCCTCCGGCAGCCATTTTTGATATTATTTCAGAGCTGCCTCGGCACTTCCGTTTCCGCCCTGCCTGCGCTGCATGTAAATGGGGTTCCCCTTTCTTTTTTCTTCTTCTTTTTTTGCTCTTTTTGTGTCCTGCGATCGCTTATCGGGCGTTGTAGTTGTAGTTGTGTGAAAGTGCAGGAATGCAGGAATGCAATGGTGCGTGTGCGAGGGAGCGAATTGAAGTTAATGTGGCCAACTGCTGATTTTATCTATGCTGTTGACTTGTTGACTTTGCGGGTTAACTGTTGCAATGTTTATGGCTTCATTATGCTAATAAAAGATATTATTTTTACCGCTTGTCAGTGCGTTAAAAGGGAGTACAACTTGGGTTCAGAACTCACACAATGCAGGGGGAAAAACTTTGTTTTTAAGTGTGTGCTTGGTATTTAATTACAACTAAAATTTGAATTGGTTAAAGATACACCGAATACACAAAAATGATTTAAGATTCATTTATAAAGTTTATATATATTTAATTCCGTTTTTTTCTAATACAGTGACTGCAATAATAAGACTATTGTTAAAAATAACTATTTAGTGTGAAATTAATGAGTAAGTTTTGACGCATTCACCTCCTGCCCAATGGAGATATGATAGCTATTCGCTGGCCCAATGCCACAGACATTTGATGCATTCAACAGAAGGGGCTAGCTGGCTGGACATCACCTGCAAACGGCCCACCTGCGCCAAACAAGCCGATTAGCATACGTTTAGCTCGCAAGTTGGCCGCCAAGCCGAGAGCCACCCAACTGGGCGGCCATTTGGGATTCAGTTTCGGGGGCGGAGAGAGCGAACAGCGCGGCGGAAATCAGTAGATCGTGTCAAAAGCATCAACCGAGGCGGAGCATCAGCGTTAGCGTTGGGTGGGACCACAAGCTACAGAACCGGACTCCCCCGCCTCCCTGAAAACTCCAACTCAAACTCGAATGCGAAAACCAAACCAAACCAAACCCAAATGCGACGCTCTGTGTCCGGTTTGCAGGCCCGGAACGCCTGGCCACCGAGCGCTAATGCGGCGTGAATATGCAGGAACCGATGGTCGATGGTCGATGGTCGACGGTCGACGGTCGATGGTTGATGTCAGCCGGGTCCAGAGCGTTATCATCGTCAATGCACGATTTTTTGGCCGCTGTCAGGCCCAAATGTTTGCCGACCATCCCAGCTTCAACGATCCCCCCTCTTTCCCCCGTTCCCCCTTTCCCCATCGTCCATTCCATTCCGTTGTGCTAATGTGCGGTTGGCGGTCGCCGTGAGATTAGCCCCGCCCATCGTTTTCATCCCTCTTTTTCCCTCCGCATCTCCCGTTAGCACTCACCTTCTTTTTTGCCCGTGTTGACGTTACCTGAAAAATCAAAATTCCAAATTCCAGCACGAGCAGATTGTCGGGCATTTTATTACGAGGAATGTGTTGACGCTTCCACCTCGAGAAATGATTGAATGACATGCCCGAGTAAAGGAAAAACAAGGAAATGGAGAAAACAGTCCCAGATTCAGACACGTTTAACACACTTAATATATGCACTGCAATGGTGTGGTTTTTTAATACAACAAAAGGCTGGCATTCTCTGAAAATTACGCCTGAAAAGGCTGAAACTCAGATGCCTGAGAAAATGGCGAAAAGGGGGAATGCCATTTAAATGCAAAGCATATTTTCAACTTGCTTTTCATAAATCTTGAGGTTATTCCTGCCATTTACTGTGCATGTACGGAAATTTAAAAAAAAAAAGGAAAATTTTTCTTAAATTATGACTAAAATATTTCAAAATAGAGTTCTTCTAAATCCTAAATGCTGCTTAAAAACTCTATTAATTTCTTTCACACAGCGTTAACCTTTTCACAAACTTTTAATAAAAGTCAGAGGCAAGGTTTCCTAAATTAAATATTCCCTTTCTGGGAAATGTCTTTTATTAAATCCGCAAACAGATCATATGTGTGCCTACCTATATCCCTCACTTTTCAATAGCCTCCCAACTCGAAGTTCCACCAACTTTTTCGCCAATCTTCTCATTTACAATCTCTGCGCTGGCAAAGTGTGTAAAAAAAGGAGAAGCCCAAAAAGTTAAAACTCTGGCTCAGATGTCATGGCTCGACTTTTGAGCCGTCAGAAAAAACTTCTTCTTCTGTCGCGGCCCAAAAATCCAACTCCTGCGAATTCCTTGTTTGCGCATCCGTATGTGTGCCCCGAAATGCGAGTGTGTGGGTGTTTGCTTGCCTGTTTGTTTGGGTGTGAGCCAGCATTGAGCTGTTTGTCTTTTAATTGTTTGCACTTAAGTCGTTTGTTTGTTTGTTCGTCTGCGTTTGTCTGCCTGGCAGGTTATGACTTTTGTGAGAAAAGTCGTTAGGAGAGCGCTCAACCAAATTACAGCCACAAAGTATGGCACGTTTTTTCCGAGAAATTAATGCGTGCTTGAGGTGGGGGCCTCTATAAAACGCTGCATTCGGTGCAAAATCGGCACAGTCGTAACTATTTGCATACCGGGTGTAAAACCCACCAACTGCAAAGAAAACACGTTAAGCATGCCAAAATCTTATACGAGTATAAGGGGTAAATAAACATACCATAAAACAAGAAAGGAAGCTAGCTTCGGCAAGCCGAAGCAGTCATCAAATATGTCAAACAAAATACATAAAGGCTAAAAAACATCGAAGCTATGACACTTTTTCTTTTAATTTTCCATATTTTCGACTATAGATCATATGGCAGCTATATGATATATTTGTCCGATTTTGATCAAATTTAATTCGTAATTCAAGAGTCGATAGAAAACTTTACGTTCCGAAAATCATGCTTATCTGATGAAAAACAACGATGTTATAATTTTATTTCCGTTATTTCTATTATATATAGAATTTTTGATCTTTCCTATGGCAGCTATAAGATATAGTGCTCCGATTTCTATGAAACGTTAAAAAAAACGTTGTTAAATAACTTGATATTCAAAAAATCATGCTCGTGGGATAAAAAACAACGATGTTATCAATTTATTTCCATTAATTCGATATATATTTTTCTTCTATGGCAGCTATATGATGGAGTTATCCGATTTTGATAAAATTTAATCCGAAATTCAATAACAGTTTGAAAACGCCATCTTGAAGAATTCAAGTCGATCTGATCAAAAACAACAGAGTCAGAATTTTTATTTCATTCCCTTGTATTGGAGCAATCCGATATAGTCGGCCGATCCGGCCCGTTCCGACTTATATACTGCGTGCAATAACTACACACCTTTTGGGAAAGTTTCAACAAGATAGCTTTAAAACTGAGAGACTAGTTTGCGCGGAAACGGACAGACGGACAGATGGACTGACGGACAGATGGACAGACGGACAGTTGGACAGACGGACAGACCTACAGATGTATTCCGATTCTGCTCGGGATGCTGATCAAGAATATATAACTTTATGGGGTCTGAGGTGTCTCCTTGACTGCGTTGCAAACTTCTGACTGAAATTATAATACCCTTTTGCTCTGCAAGGGTATAAAGAGCAAAACCTGTTTGTTTACAATACTTGACAAATTTGTATGTGTGTCACATTTGAATTTAAATCCTTTCACACTAAGTAAATGTTTTGAAGACCAGTAGGTAATCAGACCTTCGGGTAATTTAATAATTTAACTCTGTCTTTGAACTACGAAAAACGATTAATAAACTTTGAAATATATCTCCTCGGTTTTAAACTAGAAAATGCAGAAGCTCGGCAAACAAGACACAGCATCCAAATTTTCAACCGGAAAACACCTGCAATCAAATGCAATGCCAATTGACTTATCTGTGCGGTCACTCCATCAGCGTTTGCCTTTCTCTCCAGCTGTCTGGATACTACGCTTTGAAAAAACCCCACTATGCAATAACTAAATGTTTACCAGGACAAACAACAAGCGGATCCCGGACGAATGCAATCCGAATCCTTAACCTTAACACTTGGCTAAATTGATACACACATCAAAGTTGCGTTGCAATAGCCTCAAATCTTTCCGTAAATCAAGCAAAATGCAAATTTTACTAAAAGCTGAGGACGAAACCGAACCGAAGGAAAGCGGAGACCACAAAACCTGCACACGCCCCAAAAAAAAAGGGAAAATGCAAAAGCGAATGGCGAACGGAAAATTGTTGTCCAGCTGGAGTTTGGTAGCTGAAAGTTTTTTTGGGGTGAGGCTAAAATGGCTGCCAGGTAAACGGACAATGTGGAAGCTGGAGAAACCCCAGCCACCGACTTCCCAAAGCCTTATTTATCACACGTAGAGTCCCGGTCTCGATTCTCACCCTTCCATTACCAGATTTGGTTTCCGAAATCGCATACGAATGTTGGCCAATTGGATTTGGTTAGCCCAAGAGTTCGCCAAATTTCTGTGTGTGTGTGTGTGTGTGTGTGTGTGTGCTTGAACGGACCTTATCCAGAATCGGGCTTATCCGATATACATCTCTCTCCCATCATCCCAGCGCACTGTGAAAAAAATTAGATTTAATTTCTTAATAAGATCAAAAGCACTTTAAGTTGTAATAGAAGCTATTGATAATAATATAACAAGAATATTAAGTTTTAAGTATTTATGCATTTTCTTGATTTTAAATAAGTTTCACTGGAAATATGCATTTAATCAACAAATATGCACTTTAATCAACATAACAGTAAGACGTAATTCGAAGAATTTCATAATTCTCATGAAGAGATTTTCTTAAGTAAAACTGATAAGGCCTCGCGTCTCATATCAGAAATCTATAAATAGGGTGCGACTTGCTGCCATAACTTACAGTCTATATTAAACCAAAGACCTTAACATGTTCTTCAGATCTGCCCTCTTTTTTTTACTTCTCGTATTTCTGGGAATCTCTGATGCTCAGAATCCATATCGACGGAAACTCCACTATAAACAGCCAATACAAAAAGTGAACGTAAGCACAAGCCTTAAAATCATTTTGTATTTATATTTAACCTTGTTCAAATTTAATGGAAGGTACAATCACGATCTATGGGTGGCTCCCACGGTCCAATATTATTTGGACCTCCACCTGGAGTTACACCGTCAGGGGGGCCTCCGCCAGTTTCTCCACCGATTTATGCCCCAAATGTACTAGAGGGAAAAAATAAAGACAGATATGGATAAAATGTAATATTTTGTTTGCCATTGTAACCTAAATATTAACAAAAATGTTCTCAAATCTCAAAATATAGTTCGACTTCTTGTAATCAGTTTTAAAAATTTAATTTTATGACTTAATACATTTTTTGTTAAGTGCCGTTTTGGTTTCCTGTTCATGTTGCCCAGAAATGCACGCCTGCCGCAAAATGGTAACGAAGAATTTTCTCGACGCCTTGCGATCAGGTTTTCCTTTTGAGCGTGGAATTCGCCATTTGATTTGCGGAAAAGAGGGCATCAAGTTGATTAAAACCGAGAGGCCAGGATGCGGCAATCGGAAAATGACATTTTGCCTCACACGACAGCGCCCGCATAATGCAATTTTCGCGGCAATTAAGTTGAAATTTATTAATGCCAGCTGAAGTTGGAGTCGAAGGCAACAACTTCGGGCCGCTTTTGGCCTTATTTAATTAAACTGCGAAGCGGGCATGTTTTATTTCAATTAGTCGTCGGGGCAAGTGGAAGTTGCAATGCAGAAAAACCTGTGCAAAATAATTAACTGCATGCAACAATTTCCCTGGCACTCCTAACTGCTGCCAAGCTGGCCGCCGCTATATTGAACCGAATTCGCTGGGTTTCGGTTCCCTTGCATGTACGAAAATCTGCATTTAATTTATTGATGCAACGGCAACGGCGAGCGAATGGTTACTGAAACCCCGGCTGAGGATTTTCCTGTCCGCCCGTTCGACGCCTAAATGTATGCAGCGTAAAATTGTTAAATGCGCGCTTAATCTGCATATAGGCGTGGATAATGCGCCCTGCCACGCCCACAACCACCCAACACCCACCATGCACCACCCACCGTTCCATCGACCAAAACGCCTGCATGTCGTTGGCACCGAAATTGTTTCATTTCCCCATTAAAATGTACGGGCGAAAATGTTAAACACTTTATTGGCTCTGCCCCGTTGGCCAGGGGGCGTGGCAGGTCTACCTCCGATTGTTGCGGCTGTTTGCCACGTTAGCATATCTGTTTTTCGTGTTCGCAGCGCTAATCGGGCAACGTCCGTCTGTTCGGTGGGCGGGTAACCCCCTCCTTTGGGGCATGGATTCAGGTTTATTCCAGACAGTTGCCGGCTGCATTCACACGATGTTGGGGAAGAGCTTTGCGATTTATCGCTTCCTTGCGCCATTCAATGCTGAACTTAAAGTGGATTTCGTAAAATATTTCGATACTGAACTGCAAGATTCGATTCATGAGGATAACATGCCGTCTGAGCAGTTTTTTAAGCAATTTGAACTATTTGTCGGAAATGGTTGATAATAATTGTATGTCAAATTGCGTTTTAATTCTCGTACAAATTGGTAAATTTTTATTTTCTCGTTATTACCCAAAAAGTTATTGACAAAGGAAAGCGAGTATCTGGTCATAATGAAACGATCCGAAAAATATCTTTATCTTGGTTATCCTGTCTTTGGCTTGGGCCTAGGTGTCCTGGTGTCAGCAATCTTGCTGGCCAGCTGGTTGGGCATGCAGTCGGGGTTGAAGGCGCCTCCATCAGCACCACCACTCGGTGGGGGACCCATGTCTGGGGGAAGACCGCCATCAGGAGGGGGCATGTTTCGACCTCCAACCTATTAGGAATGATATAGGTAGGCTCAATTAAAATGAAAGCTCAATTTAATTATAATAGTCAACACATACCCCTGGTCGTTTGTACTGCTGGCGTTGCTGGTAACGCTGTTGGCCATTTGCGATTCCCAGGAGAACGCAGCTGAGGAGCAGAACTGCAAGAGCGAATTTGGGCGACATCTTTAGCTCGACTTGAGAGACTGGAAGACACTGTGACTTTGGCTGCAACTCGATGCGTATTTATACAATCCTGATCAGCGAACAGCGAGCTTTATCAGTTCCATTTGCATATTGCTCTTCTGAAGAAAATAAATCTGAGTTCTTGGTTATTTCTTTATCAGAGTTTTTGTAAATTTATGTGGAAGGCATAATTGGAATTCATTGAAACGAAATCGTTTTCTGAAAAATGTATAATATTATTTTTATAAGCTGTAGAAAGTGATAATTTTGTTAAAAACAAGCGATTCTATTATCTAATGACATCACAGAATTTAATTCAGTAATTTTTGTATAACATGCTTGCATCACTTTTCACAGCATCGCCTTTCATAAATTTTTCGTTGTAAATCTGCATTTCCGTAATGTTTTCCGTGACGTCAGCCATTTACTATTTTTAGTTTTCAACATTTGAACTTTTTGGGGACATTGTTTATTTTTGTTTCTGTCGGGCCTCTAGCCCTTCCATTTCGACCATGGCTGTTGTTTTGGCAAGCGGCCAAAGGGCCTCCACTAGCGGCTTTTACATAGAGCCATATACATTTGTAGACCCGGCTCGTCCTCGCTAGTGAAGTCGAGTAGAGTCGCAACCTTTTTGATTAGATTACGCAACGTAAAACTGGTTTGCAAATTGAATAAATGACTTTTGCGTTGCCAATATAAAACGTGTTTGAAATTTTTGATTAGGCAAACACAGACACACAGAAAACGCGATTTTAGACCTTTCGAGCGCAACAAAAAAGAAAAAAAAAGTGAAATGAAATAGAATAGAATACAACAAACAACAGCTACGGCGACAAAATGAACCGAAATGGCAAAGGCACAGGACACGGAGGACAAACATTTCCCAGGCTCTTTACAAACTCCATTTTTCCCCGTCACTTTAGAGAAGGGACTCTGCGAACCGAATGTAATTTGTCAATTTTGTTGGGTGGCGGCGCGGGCAGTTTGTGGTTTTGGGACTAGGAAGGGCCCAATTAAAATTCATTAAACGTAAATTAACATTGAAGTTGGGCATTATAAATTAACTAGGGGCCACAATTGACGGCCTCGGAGACCTGGTTGAAAGAGAAAGCCAATTGAAAAGGCATTTGAGGACCTTCAGCTAGGCTTCTTCAGCTTTAAATTAAAGGCCTCAAAGTAACAGCTAAATATAGGCAACAAGATAAAAGAAGCAACATCTAAACTATAAAGGTTGTGTTTTTCCAGAATGCAGTTGGCAAAGTTATGGATACTGGAAGTACTGGAATTTTGGCCTTCTTACGCCAATCATCGGAAAACTTCAATAAATCTGACATGCAGGGGTCAAAAATTCGACCTCTCTAAAATACAAAATCTTAAATGCCGTTCGTTTCTAAATGCGACTGCAAATGTTTCGAGGTATGTCACTTTGAAATCGGTCGAAAATTGGAAGTGCAGATCTTGCCCTTCTATCGCAAAACATTGAAAACTTGAAAAAACATTAGACATGTTAATAGTATTTTATAATGTCTGGGGTCAAAAACTTGTTTTAAGAATGGTTTCTTCATATTTTTTCTATTTAGAGTGATTGAAATTATCGTCTCTCCAATCACGTTTGAGCCTGCCTAAGAAATCAAGGCTGCCAAGTTTTTTTTTGAGGGCGCGAAGATCGTGGATGCCCAAATCCAATTCGGACTTAATGAGCTGTGTAATATTTGCATTTTGTTCACACCCCGTAGCAGTAATTTCGGTGACTGAGCCAAGAACTACGCAAAGCTGTATTTCTTGGCAAAGTGCCGTCCGGCAAATGTGCTGCAATTGCTTTAGCATTTACGTTAACCTTTCCTTTTTTTTTCTGTCCGTTTTTGGCAATCAGAGGAATAGAAGACACGGAGAGAACGAATAGGTCGACATAAATCCATTACAGATTGTGAATGCGGAATAAATCAGAAGCCATAATTCAATATTAAATCACTCATACGCCAGGTTAAACCAATTGCAAACGGTGAATGCATCTCGGGGCACAACAAGCAGGACAATTAGTGTGTCACACACTGCGGCGAAGAAAGAAGGGAAATGAGAAATTGGTTGGCTTGTGTGCAGTCTCCGCTTTTAGCCAAATGAAAACCTCAAATGTGAAACCCTGCTCGCAAACTCTTCTCGGGCAAAATCAACAAAATATTTCAAAATAACAAATGTGTCCATTGGTGCCGGGCAGAGAGCTGTAGGACAGCAGCAGCTCCAATGACAAAGTGCTTGCAAACGCACAATATTTGTCTAGGTCATGCATATCACAATCCGGTCTTCTTCCGAAAGGTGGGCTTGCAGGTGAGAAGTGGGTGGTGAGTGGGTGGTAAATGGGCGGTGGGTGGTTGGCCCTTCGCAACGATTCCAATTCAGTTTGCCAGTTAAATGCAAACATAAACACAAAGGCAAATACACAAAACACAAGACATATTAATCAATGCAGGAGGGGAAAATGGGATGAGTTAGGAAGGAAGGTGGAAGGGAAGCAGGGGAATAGGGCCAGATACATAAGCGATTTCCAGCATTGGCTTTGGTTGGCCAAACAAATAAATTGCAATTTGTGTAATCTTAACACCTAGGGCCAAAATCAATGGAGAACAAAGTCCTCCAAGCAGCCCACCACATCATTTCACACTAGCAAGGTGACAAATATATTTGTGCACTGAGAAAAGACTTAAGAACAATATTTTAAAATGTAATTAAAATAAAATACATTGATAATATATACTAGTCTTCTATTTTAATCTATTTCTTACTCCTTCCATGAACTTGTATATTTGTTCATTTCTATTTCCATTTTTTTCCTCAGTGTGAACAAATATGTATGCAAGTAACTGTAGATCAGGTGTGTGGCAAAATATTTACAATTAAGCACAAAGGCAGCAAATGCATTGAGACTTACATTGTTCCACGTCACGTGGGGAAATGTCAGCTATAGCTGTTCAAGGGTATTGAAGTTTCATTCGTGTTTGTGCTTTCCTTTGCTCTAGTGTAAGTGCGAAAGGATTAAATGGGATTGTGGAAAATTTGACCAAAGTCAAAATTGATGTTTGATTTTAATTACAGCATGATTTCTGACTTTTCACATTAAAGGTAGATAAGACTTTGTTATTCACGTTAAATCAGCCATAAATCACTTGGAAAAATTCTTCACTGAAACCCTTATGTTTCCAGGTCCATATACTTTAAGTTTGTGTAATTGCCTACTTTTGTACCTACAAGTGATTGTTGATAGCATTGATTTAAGAAGCCCTTCCTAAGCTACAAATATATTACCATTGTGTTTTTGTTTAAATAAAGTTAATTGAGGCAACTGTAAGAGATTTGTCTGAATGGTATGGAAATTTCGTATCAGTATTTTGATAACTATTGCGGTAGTGAAATTGCTTAAAGCTTAAAACCTTTGGGTATATTAAAAAAAAACAAAACAGTGTTTCTCAATTGATATTTCAAATCGTTTATTTTTGCAGGCAAAGAGGTCGTATGGAGTGTTTAGATTTGTTTGGTTCCAATTTGGTGTTTGGGCTTAGGCCTTGGGGTCCTGGTGTCAGGAGTGTGACTGGCCAACTGGTTGGGCTGACACTCGGGGTTGAAGGCACCTCCATCGGAACCACCTCCACTCGGTTGTGGACCCATATCTGGGGAACCACCGTTATCAGCAGGGGGCATGTTCCGAGTTCCAACCTGGAAAAGATTATAAAGGTTCAATTTTATTTGATCTCTAAGCAATTAAAATAGGTAACTCATACCTTTTGACGGTTGTACTGCTGCCGTTGCTGGTAACGCTGTTGGCCATTTGCGATTCCCAGGAGAACGCAGCTGAGGAGCAGAACTGCAAGAGCGAATTTAGGCGACATCTTTAGCTCGACTTGAGAGACTGGAAGACACTATGACTTTGGCTGCAGCTCGATGCGTATTTATACAATCCTGATCAGCGAACAGCGAGCTTTATCAGTTGCACTTCAGAAAGAGGAATAAATATTTATTGCAGTTCATTAGAAATAATATTTTACATGGGAACTCTTATCACCGTTAAGTCCATTTATGAAGAACGCATTTTCCTTATTAATCAAGATGGAAAAACATGGGAAAAAATGTTTTTGATTATATTGTGATTCTGCATAATTTTTATTTTTTATTCTGCAAAATGTTATTTATTTTAATCAAATTTCCCAGAAACAAGTCTTACTTGGAACAACTCTTAAAAAAGGAATGAAGAGTCAACTTCGGAAATGCAGTCTTGTAAGTGATTATGTTTAAGATTGTAATTTGTCTACTCCATAATGAACTTAAATCTTTGACTTTTCCCCATAAAAAAGGCAGCACTCTAAGATGGCCCTGAAACCCAATCCCGAGGGTCTAACCGGAGTGCTTAAGTGCCTAAGCGCTCCATGATGGATGCAAGCGAGGCTGTGCTCGAGCTTAACCCTAAAAGCGCATTTTAAGTAATTCCAGAGCCTTGCCTATGGTCTCTTAACCCACTGCTCACCCTTTCACCAGCCCTCTTTGCTGCGGCTTAAAAGCTTTAAAAGAATTTATTGCGAACACTTGAAGTATTTTTTGCCGCTGTTCGCCGTTCGCCTCTGCCTCTTCTGCTCTGTTCTATATACATATATGCATAGGTACATGGTAGGAATTATTCGCCTGGGTGTAAAGTGAAAGCAGCTAGAAAAACAACAGCATCTGCAAGGAGCAACAGACTGCGGGAGGAAGGAGGAAGGAGGATCCTTTCCGGTGCGTAGGTTATTTACAATGGGTATTTTATAGTGGCAAGCTCGAACGGCAATTCTGGTGCAGCTTTCAATATTTTCACACTTTGGTTTTTAGTTGTAATGTTTTTTCTATATGTGCAGTTGTGCCATTGCAGAGGACACAGGCGATGAGTGTTTTGTGTCGAAAACGAAATGCTATTGCTCTTAATGGCTTCAGTAGTGTCTCTCGAAGTAAATGGTCCTGCAGCTGGTGAAACTTCTTTGCACCAGAAAGAATGAACATGGACCTTGACTATCTGCAGTTATTGTTAAAATCGAAATAAATGCTTTCACTAAAGTCAATCTACAGGATTAGCTAAATGACATGCGATAATTAACAGGTTTAAACCTCAACATTTCCTAACGTAATCGATTTTATCGGCCTTAAGCCCACAACGTTTGTTTTGCTTTGCTTTCATGACACACTTTGAATTAAATATGCATTTTTTACTCTTAACTCTTTTTTTTGAAAAGCATTTAAACCTTTTTTGGTTAGTAAAAAAATTCAACAAAAATCAGTAACACATTTTTTGATTAAATATAAATAAGTTATTTGGTCTTTGTTTTAAAAAGACGAAAAAGAAAGCTTTCGTTTTTCCACTGCTTTGGTTTTATTAATTTTGAATTTTTTTGCACAATTAAAAATTAACTTGTGACAGAACCAAATTACATATCGCTAGTTTGACCATAACAAAAGCAAAACTTAAAGGTGATTAAAAAAATCAATATAAAAAATCGTTGTTTTCATGTGGATGAATTTAACTTAAATTAACTGCATTGCGTTTCAAATTTGCCTCGCATAAGCTTCTTCCCCACTTTTTTATTTGGCCTAATTAATGTCGTCTGAGAGCTCGTCAGGCCGTTGAATAAACATTTTTACATAACCAAGCTGTATTCAAATTGATTTATGTTAATTACTGTTTAACAGAATGCGCCTGACTGATTGCTAAATTGATTTTAAATGAAATGGAAATGCGGAAAAAATCCACTCGGCCACATAAAAAGAAATCACCCAATATCCCACTGATGATAATGACTATCTATTTTATCGCACTGATTGCTGTCAAACATCAACGAGACCAAAGTTGCAATGATGTGAAACGAGAGGGTTGAAAGAAAAAGAAGTCAGTGGAAAACCGTATAATTCATGAAAAGTGACCACATTATTTGTTAACATGGGTTTTGATCTTACAGTTGAAAGGCTTCACTGATTTCAGTAAAAACAGTTTTAAGTTGTTTCTTAACCCATTAATAACCACTTTTGTTTTAAATAAATTTTATACGGGAAAGGGTAGTATTTGTTTACTTTTAATTTAATTTATATTTATTACTCTCGAAAAAAGTATAGAGTTCTTGAATTTACTAAAAATTTTTTTTTTTTTTGGTTTTTATAAATGTTGTCAGTGAAGTCGTGCCATGGGGTTCGGTCCAAGTTTGTGGTTATCCTGCCTTGGGCCTGGGCCTAGGTGTCCTGGTGTCATGAACATTACTGGCCAACTGGTTGGGCATGCAATCGGGGTTGAAGGCACCTCCATCAACACCACCACTCGGTGGGGGACCCATGTCTGGGGGAAGACCGCCATCAGGAGGGGGCATGTTTCGAGCTCCAACCTGGAACGGATAAGACAAGTTATATTATAAACTTAAGCTGTATTTAATAATAATATTTAACACATACCCTTGGTCGGTTGTACTGCTGGCGTTGCTGGTAACGCTGTTGGCCATTTGCGATTCCCAGGAGAACGCAGCTGAGGAGCAGGATTGCAAGAGCGAATTTAGGCGACATCTTTAGCTCGACTTGAGAGACTGGAAGACACTGTGACTTCGGCTGGGACTTGATCCGTATTTATACCATTCTGATAAGCGAATAGCGCGCTTTATCAGTTGTGCTTCCGAGTAAAAGCAAATGCTTGTTGCAGTTCTTGAGAAGTGAGATGAACTCTTGGTTACTTTGAAATTCTTATCGCAGTTTATGGTTTACATACATCAATATTTCAAGTGAAACAAAATTAAATATAACAACGAGAAAAAGGTTATTGTGCTGATTATTTTGTCCTTTACATAATTCTGTCGTTTGAACTTGCACCAAAAAAAATATATCGTGAATTTATTTATGGAACTCAATCGCGAAGGAATTGCGAAAGTTGTGTAAAGTTCTACCCTCATTTGCATATATTAAAATTTTGAATAGGTTAAAACCTTAATGAACACTCTTGGGGAAGCGATGTATTTTAAATTCTTGCTTAGACAAAAATATATTACGTATAATGAAGAGCTTTAATAAAGTTTAATTTATTTTTTCAGATGATCAGAGCTTGACAAAATAAATAAATAAATAACTAAGTAACCCGAATTTGTGAACAATTCACTGCACACATCTTTTGAGAAATAATTTTTATGAATTGTTGTCGGTCATTGGAGTTTCGATTCCGTGTTTCCCTGGTCAAATTGTTGTGGGTGAGAGCAATTAAGGACTCCTTTGTCTCCGATTAGGTAATGACTTGAGTTGGGACCTGCCGCAAAATCGGCTATTGGCTTGTTGTCGAGGTCTCAGCTGTCAAGAGCAGCAGGTGGAGTAAATGCTGGGTGGGGTGGGGTTTGGTGCGATAATGTCCTGCAGCGTGGAAAGGGGATGCTGGAATTTCGGGACCTCGACATATCGATGACGGGGGACTTGGACGGTGGGAGAGCGAAACCAACTTGCAACCTACTTGGGCCAGAAACGCATTCGTGTCGGCGTGTGTGTCTTGGCCAAATGCCAACGTACAAAACTTGCCATAAATCCACAGGCAGCGTATAATTAATAAGGATTAATTGTGCACCAGAACTTGTGCAGCGACAATGCCAGACAGAGCCAAGACAAAGGCTCAATAGATGTGGAATGGGCCATGGAGATGGAGATTGCATGGCCCAAGTCAAAATTTAATTAATTAATAGCACAACTTTAGGCGGCCTGCATGTGTGTGTTTGAATTCTGAGAAAATTTGCTGGAAATCGATAAGCAAAACACGTATTCGGTATGCGTTGTGGCAGAAACATTCTCGTAAAATATTTTCCCTAATTAACAGATTCAGATCATGGCTCTTTATTATAGCTAATTGCCGAAATATTCACATTCCGTACGCAAACCCAATAGAACGTATTCAACAGCTTTCTATAATTAATACAAGAACTAATTAGAGTAGTAATTAAAAATTAAAATCTCTATAATGACAAGTTCAAAATTACAACCTATTTAACCTAACATATAATCGACTTTTCTAACAAAATTGGCTTAAATAACAATTTATTACCGCTAACGGCTTAATGAATCAATAAACCCCATTATTTATGCATTGTTGCCAAAAAGAGTATCATTTGCATGCTGCCATTTCTTGAGGCCAAATCTAGTAATTAAGCCGGCATTTGGCAGCAACAGAAGATTGTCCACTTAATTCGAAAGGAAGCGAAAACTTTTTTATTAGCTGTGCAATTCCGCCGTCTTTTCTCCTCGGCATTTCAATCCCCCGAACTTTTTTATCAGACCTTTTACAGTTTTCCTACTTAACTTTACGTTCGCTTGGCCCTCGTTTTTTCCCACCGCTTGGCAGGTGAGTGCAAAGGACGGAAGGGAAATGAAAGACGGCAATTAATGTTAAGCTCTTGGCACGGCCCAAAGGATAGTTGAGCATTTGGCGGGGCAAAAAAAAAAAAGAAAAGAGCGAAAAAACGCAAGTGCAACGGGGGCGGGAATTGGTTTTAATTAGGAAAAGTGTTTTATACTCCAATAACATTATGGTAAGCCTCGCAGGATTGAACCCGGAAGACTTGGCGCCCTTAAAAAATGCAAAATTGGAGCTCAAAGTTATTGGTTTCGGGAGTGAAAATCAATATTATGGTTTTAAAGAAATATATATGGTGATAATCACCCATAATGGCAGACAAATCGGCACCCATTAAATGCCAAATCGCTGAACACCACAAATAATAGTTATGGGCAACAAGAAGCCTTGAATGAAATTGAATAATAATTATACCGCTTATTGCTGTTTAATAATATGTTGATTTATTTATATCTGCGTATGAATATTTGGTTTCAATTTATAGCTTATATGTGTCTGACCTTTTTTTTTTTGTTTTATCATTCCATGCAATTTGGTTTTTAAATTTCAATCGTTTATATAACTAAGTATATTGATTTTTTGCCGAGAGCTAAAAATATATTTGTCGGCATTAAAACTTTATTATTCAGTTTTCTCGGTAGAAAGTGGGAGCCATTGGCCATTTGGTATTTATGTCTGTTTACCATACTTTATGCTTGACTGATTTCCCCATTAAGCATGACTATTTTCTTCGTGGAAATGTTTTTTATTATAACAACAGACAAACAACAATAAAACTAGAGATACGAACGCAGTTTTAGTATTTTTATTTTTCACGCATTTTGCTGATGGTTCTCTCAAAACAGTTTTGAAGCCCCAAAACCCCATGTTCCTTTGATTTTTAGTGGGTAAACAAGATTTTTGATGCGGCATAATTTCCTTACCACCTTTTTCCACTCCCTCGGGTAATTTGTTTTTGACGCATTGCTGATAACGTCGACGATGATGATGTCATAATTTTATTTCGCTTTTCCACTGCCGGGCCAAAAGTCAAAACAATAAGCGTTTAAATTTCAACGATCTATTCGCGTTCGATGTAATTTGCATAATATTTTAATTTTGCATACTTATTGGCGCATAATTAGATGGTTATGTCCTCGGGTGTGGGCTTTGTTGTTTGACTTTCGAATCAATATTTAACGGAAAAAACTTTTCAAATTTAATCGCATAGATAAAATAATCATTGCATTTAATAGGATAATTATTTATTAAATTCAACAAATTTGAGAGTCTTTTTAAGAATCATCTTTATTTCTAATCTGCTTAAAGAAAATTCAAGGATTAGTCTGGTTTGTTAACCAATACTAATTCACCTTTAGGGGCCGACTAACCAGTAAGTGGATTTGTCCACCAGTTCCTATTTGTTTTTTCTTTATTTACCCCTTGACCGCATCGTATAAAAAAACCACAAATGTACATTCCCGCATTTTAATGGACTCCGCGTAACACTAAACTCCACCTGGCAAACATCCACTGCTGCTCCACTTGGATACACACGCACCCAAGCCAAATGGCAAATCGAACGAACGTTTTGGGTGCCCCATAATGTTTGTCTAAGATCCACAGTGGTGTCCCTAGTTTCAGTGGCACATCATGGTACTATTTTTAGGGGATTTCTAAAATTGTTGTATTTACTTTTTAGTTATATTACTATGAATTATATTTTGAGCCAACCAGACTTAGTTCACTGTATTGGCTTAAAATATTCTTTTGCTAAATACTGCATTTTAAATAGGGTTATCATAATAATCCTGAAGCTCCCTTTAATACACCCCTGACTAGCTGTTTGGGCCAAGTTCGGTACTTCTTTTCCGCAATTCCGCCACCCGCCCCAGTTTTTTTCCTCCACTCGCTCCAGGACCCAACACAAACACTCGAGCTGCTGAGCGTTGCCGGATATTGGCTTCATACACCGCCAGCCAATTTTAAATTGCCAATATTGATTTATACGCCGCATGCGTCGCTGCCACATGGGGTACGAAAGCCAAGTTAGGGGGAGTCCGGAGTCCGGAGTTCGGAGTCCGGAGTTCGGAGTCCGGGATCCCAGACCCTCTGAAGCATTGTTAAGTTGCAATTTTGCAGGTGGTGGTCGGGGATTCATTGCCAAAGATGGACGTGGGTCCCAAGTAAATGGGCATGGGATTTCACGTAGTTAACGCTCTCAGAATTTATTGGCCAGGCTTTAAAAGCTGCACTCGCATGCAATGCAAATGTGCATTAAATATACACAGGGAACGGAATAAAACTTAAAGTGCCGATAATATTTTTTTTATCTTAAATTGATTGGCTTTTTGAGTAATTTGTCATAATGTTATTCATTCATAAGATCTTATAACCAATCTTTTGCTTAATACGTATGTTTATTTCAGTACAGTAAAATATTTTTGTTAGTGTACAAACATATAAGCTGCATTTACATATGTGAGCATCCTCGAATACAGTATTACTTAGCCTAAATGCAATTGGATATGCCATCAAAGCGAAAAAATTATTTGCCCACCGTTTTTGCTCGCCATCCCCTTTTAATTTCGGATCCCCATCTCTTCGCTCGACTCGTGATTTCCCAAATCCCATTTAAGAATTCCCTTTGTGGGAGTCTGGGATACCGGGAACTCAGACTCGCCCACAACAGTTGAGCATACTCCTTTGCATAATTCATGCAAAAAATTCAACACAACTCGGATTCGAGTCCCAGTGTGTTGGTTGTTTATTTTCCGAGAGCTGTTTCGGATCCTGGCGCCGTTGTCCTTTTCATGGGGGCAATCGACATGTGCTTTAAGTGCTTCGATGCCAGGAGATAGATGAGAATATGTCAAGCGAATGTTGCCCGCTGGTTAACCAGCTGACAAGTGTCAGGAAAGGGGTAAAATGTCTAATTCAGATATTCATATGGAGTGTTTTGATACAACATCTAAGATTAAACAATGCCAACAATAAACCTGTTCTCGCTTAACCTTTTTGTAGATTTAAATAAAGTAGTAAAGTAAAGAAGTATAACTAAAAATACAAACAAAAAATTTATTTACATTTTTATCTTTATAGAAATAAAATTATTTTTTTAGTTTTCACTATATGGTTCTCAGGTCACAAGGCATATTTTCTGCCTAAAAATGCACCTTTTCACTTCTGCCTTTTGCAACTATTACCTTTTGCCAGGCTGCACTTGGGCAATTAAAAGAAATTAATTGCCCGCTTTCGTAATGGACGTCATTATAAAACTGTCAACTGCATTCAGCAACTGTATTATGGCCAGCACTGACACATAATGACATTTTTTACTTGCTTTTACTATAATTGATTTTTTAAATACAGCTGAAGAATTTTTATATTTGTTGCCACCAAAGTGAATGCTTTGGAGTCTTTTATAAACCAGAAAAAAATAAATGCCAACCTTTACCAATTTATGCATTTAAACCTAACGAAAACAAAGGGGAATTAAAGAAACAAACGAACGCACAATTTTAACATTAAATTTTATCATTAAAATCATATTGTATTTTCTCATAAAGGATAATCACCCCAGAAACGAAAATAAGTGGATTGTTTTATAATAAATCCATTTATAAATATATTAAAGCCTTTGAAAATGGTATGTTGATATATTTTATCTGAGTGCAATAATAAAATTGAACTGTCTTAACTTGTTGCAGCAAACAACTTTAATAATGCATAGCGCCAAATTTGATTTATAAATATTTGTCTTGCTCCTGGGTATAAACGGCCAAAAGAGCCGAAAACGGGCGTCGGGAAAATAACCAAAAACGGAAAATGGTAATATATTTTCCATTAAATTTAATTTGCATGGTTTTAGGCGCAATCCGCTTCCGCCTGAGCTTTTTGGCTCCCACGGCTGTGGCCAAAATTTCATTAGGCGTAAAATATGCTTTTCTCGTCTCCCCCTCACGATTTTCGCAATGGAATTTTTAATGATTTTGCTTTAGTATTATATATTTTTTATTTGTAGATTTTTTTTCCAATTTTTTGCTTTAGAAAACCCAACTTCGATTAGGAATTCCCCTTAAATTGTGCGTTGACCTTAAAGACTTAAACCCTGTGTTCATTGAAGTGATTTGGTAAACTGGAGGAGTCCATTGCATTGGCATCGCCATTGCCTTGGAAATGGCTGCAGTATTAGGGGTCTGGCATTGTCTTTACCGCTGCGGAAGGAGCATCGATATTGTCCTTTATTCCTGCCCAGTCCTTCCAGCGGCACCGCCTTTATTGTTATTTCGCCTGCATCATTATTTCAGTTGGCGCCTTCGCTGTAAGTGGAGCCCCAGTTTCCCAGTGGCGACTCCTTCCCGGATCCGTTTCCATTGTGCGGAGCTGCTTCTGCTGTTGTTGCAGATAAAGATAAATAGTCTCAGATAACGCTCAGTTATTTGCAAACAAATACAATTGCGGTTCATTGATGGCGGTTTCATTTCGCCATCTCTCGAGGAGAAAGTCCGGATGGGGAAAAGTGGGTGTGGATGTGGGTGACGGTGGGGGTGGGGGTGTGGTTCTGGTCTGGGCCATTAGTTTGTGGTTCTGGAATGTGCCTCCGTTGTTGGCGGCTAGTCCTGGAAGTCACGGCTATTCAGATTCTGACCCAGGAGCACGAATTTGTCGAACGTGTAAGTGATGAACTCCGCATACCACCTGCCAGCAATTCCAAGCCATTTCTGTGAGGTAAATTCAAATTAGAGCGGAATATGTAGATATTTGGCAACAAAACATTTTAAGAACCCTTTTATATTTTTGGAAAAGTAGTTTTACACTAAAAATATAATCTAACATAAATGGTCTACAAGTTATCCAACATCTATTTCTTTAAAGGAAAAGTATATCTTATCTTACCGCAATGGAAAGAGCACTCTCTGGCGAGATGCCCCAGAAGCCATTAGTTACACCCACAACAAATGCCATGAGGGGCTCATACTCATCCTCATCGATAATATACTTGATTACATTGAGGGCTGTGGACCAGCTGACAAGTTTCTGTTTTAGGAGAAACAGAATATCGCTGACGATCTGTGCTCGATTTAAAACATGGATGCTGCGGAAGTCATCGTAGAGAGTGGTTGCCAAAAGCTGCCAGGTTTTCTCATCATAATTGACCCTATAATAACCAATGGCCTGCAGATTAAGTAGGATCCAGTGTGTTTCGGGCACCATTTCATATAGTTGCAGGTGGTTGTTGAGCGGACTTAACCAAACACTTGGCTTGAGGTCATTTGGAAAAGGTTCACCCTGAATAACATAGGTCAAGGGTATCCACCAGAGATCCGTACTACTTTTGTTCAAGGCATTGCTTTGGGAAAGGATTATTTTACCGTCTTTTCTGGTAACAGTGATTAGAGGATATCCTCTTTGCAGAATCCAAGTGTTCATAATGGTCCTCACATCCCAGTTTTTGCCAAGGAAAGACTCCCTTTCACTGGCCAATTGAAGTGATCGCCAGAAATTTTCTGGATTACTGGTGGTAAAGGAGTTCTGCCACAAATGCCGCTGAAGTCCGTCATAGAAGCTGACATTCCCCAGGAAACTATTCACCATGTAAATGAGAGAAGATGCTTTTTGGTACATATGAACCTCCGATGCTGAATCGTCAGCAGGCCAAATGGGTGACAAGGATACTCCACCCACTTGCGATTCGTACATAAAAGCCGTTTCACGATACCGCAACAACAGTTGGCGAGCCATTCCTGGATGGAAATGATCAACGGCAAGAGTCTCAAAGTATCCGGTTAGACCCTCGATCAACCAGAGATCCGAAGAAGATTCCATGCCCAAGAGGTTTCCGAACCACATGTGCGCCATTTCGTGAGCAATTAGCTGAAGAGCCTGCAGATTTGCCCCACTCGTTAAGCCATCTTCGCGCTGCAGAATCTGTTTGCTTTGATAGACGACCAGGCCAAAAGTATTCATAGCGGCATTGGGAAAGTCATCCATCACCAGTTGATCGATCTTCTCCAGCGGCAGATGCACTTGCAGCAGCTCATCCAGGAACTCCAATATCTGAGGAGCCCCTTCGGCGGCAAAGGACGTTTCACGGACATCAGAGGGTTGTGAACAGGTGCGAAAACGAATGGGATTCGCACTGGCAGCCTGGCTAAAACGACAGGTGAAGTTGTTCACCGAGAAGGCCAACAAATGGACGGGCATTAAAGGAGTCACTTCGTGGACAGACCACACATAATCTTGAATATCATGACTGTCATACCACAATAACGATTAGAGACATATCTTTATATACGAAGTTATTACTTACTTGGGCAGCACCGCTCGGACGTTCATGTTGCTGTAGCTCAGGAATCTTTTATGATGTCCCATTGTCACATTAAAGGTGGTCCTCAAGGCAGGCTCATCAAAACAGGGCAAGGTATTCCTAATAAAATTACGATCAAAATGGGACACAGAGTACCAACTGTAAAAAACGTTAGTTAATCAATCTTTCAATTCAAAGGAAAATAAATTTCTTACATTTTTTCCGAGGTCCTTGAATTCACATAGTGACGTATGAAGTAGCCATCCCTTATCTCATTAGACATTGGTCTACCAAACTTGATACTTAGCACATAGGACTTGCCCATTCCCAAGGGTTTGTTGAAAGATACTATCATATAACGGCGATGCTTATTGAACCTGACATTTCTTAGTTGAAATTCCTCCGTCTCGCCGTAAAGTTTGATCTTCTTCGCTTCGACGGAAACACCGGCAACATGGAGCACCACTTCGTTGATGACTTTTTCAGCATGAAAAGAAATATTCACCGAACCGTGATAGCTGAGGTTGGAAGGGTTCTCTAAAAAAGTTATTATCCTCAAGTCGTAGTGAAAAGGGGTAACAGTTGTCGGTAAACGAGACTCATTATAGAGGGGAACTTTTGCGGAGTCTGCAACTTGGAACAAAACCCAGAAGAATAACAGGCAGGAAAATGCAATGTTATTCCTGCAAACTTCATAAAATGTACATAAACATATAGGCATACTGAATAAAAACTCCGTTTTTGGACTTCTGGACTAGACGCCAAAATATAAAGTATAAACTTAAAATTTTGAAACAAAGCCAATTTCATGACAATTTTAAACACACAACCTTGTTTGCTTACTCTTGCTATTTAATATACCATTTTTTAAGGTTTAATCAATTAAATGAGTCACATTTTTAGCTACAGAGCAATGAAAATACATTAAAGAAATTAAATTTTATTCCAGATATAAGGTTGAGTTAATGGTACGTTTTAACTGGATACCTTAAACATTTTGCTAGGAAAAGGGTGTCCTAAGTGAAAGTAACATTTCCAGCTCGACTTGGCATCTTCTTGACTTACTTTCCAGCATTTACTTGCCGGCTGGCAAAAGTTTTGCAACTTTTCGCGCTACGTGCGTTTCTCGATTTGCCCCTGTATCTGTTTGCATCGGTGTGCGAGCGTATGAGTGTGAGTGTTAGTGCGTGTGTGGGTCCTGCGCCAAAAAGTATGTTAAGCACTTTGGTCCCAGTTTCACTGGCGCGCTTTTGGGCCCAGCAGGACCCTCGAACGCATACGCATTCGTTTTCGTTTTCGCATTCGCAGTCGCAAACGTATTCGGATCTGGTTTGCGATTTATACGTGCATGTAATATATGTAATTTATGACTGACGGGATGTGAGCGCTTAAATTATGTGAAAAATGCTCGCAAAAGCCTCGCTGACTTTTGGGGTCTAACAAACTTTTACTCAAAAGTTTGCTCCGCAGCCCTCTCGCGAATATCAAAATATTGACAGTCACGTGTGGATTAGTTATTGGGGTTTGGTAGAATATGGAGGTTTATTTTTTAATCTATGTGCAGATTTTATTTATCTACCACGAAGGAGTTAACCTCTTTAACATGACATCAAAGGGAAAATTATGCCATTACTATTACATTACCATTATCTTCCAGTAATTTACCCAACCAACAACCCACTAAATGATTTTTTGTAATTGATTTTTACACTTTCCCTAAGAACATTTTAAAGGTTTCCAATTTTTAACCCAAAGAACATTAAACAATACTGATGGTGATGTTTCCCTAAAGTTCGTAAGGAAGTCATTACTTTCCTCTAAGACAAAAGTTATTTTGGGAATGGGAGTGAGCTGTCAGTGAAGGGTGTCCATTTCAGGGGCTCCCCGAAAAGACAAAGCTCAATCGGATTATGCTTTATGCCCCCTCAAAGAGCCTCAGACCATTCCCGGCGCATTTGCTCATCCCGATGCGGATCCTAAATGAATTTTCATTTCCAATTACTTTACAATTTTGCTTTTGTGTGCCTGATGACTTGGATCCCTTACCCGCTGCACCCTTCATCCTTTTCGGCCCCATGGTGGCATTACAATTCGATTTCCTAATTTTCAATTTTACACGTTTGGCAAACACTCGAGTCGAACAGCCCAGATCGAAAACAGGACAAGACCCGAGTGCCCATACCTAGTTGCTATACCCATCCGGATCCGCCTCCGCCTCCGCATCCGCTTTCGCATCCCCATCCAATCGGTGCACTATCCGTATGCAATCCCAGGCCAGAGACTTTTGAGAAATTTTAATTAAAATTGAATTTTCTTGCATTTAATTAAAAGCTTAGCTGGCGCGCATGAAAAATGAGAGAAGCCAAAGAAAAACTATGCTCGATGTGGAAGCGGACGAGAGTGCGGACAACGATGAGGATGCGGATACGGATGCGGATGCTGGTGAGGATGCGGATGCGGATGCGGATGTGGCAGGGCACTCGAGCAGAAGTGCATGCACTGGCTGCACCAGAGATATGAGACTCATCATCGTCAGCTGGCCAACAGAAAACCCATCCTTGAACTTCCATCTTGCATATTGTAGTACATATATCCCATCGTAAAAGGAAACGGAGCTGCAGATATTTTCGTATGTTTACCCGGACCGAGATCCATTTGGGTTTTGCTTTTACCCGGGAACCGGTGCTAATCGCAACACTGACGACAGCTCCTGTCAAAATAAGCAACTAATCTGCCGGCTGCAATATTGTTTGACAAGCGAACACACACGCAGGAAACCAAAGGGGCGGGCTTTCGTTCTTCAAACTCCCATTTAGGGCTTGGCCGATTGATTTCCATTGGAGACAATTGCAGCGAAATTCGGGCCATGGTTCCGGGAACAATCACCATGCCAATTGGATTTCGGGTTGCGGCAGGCTAATTAAGTTTTTCAGCCCAGCCGCCCCGAAGCCAACTGCAAATTCGCCCCCAACCGAAAATTTGTCTATGCCGCAACATTTTCCACCATTTCCGGCCACGAGAATGCATCACAGTTGCGGACCGGAAGTCGAATCAGTTATATCGCAGAAGGCGGCCATGCAGAATGATTCGTTCGTTGATTTTCGCCCAGCTTAGCGATAATTTTTAACTGACCGCAATGAGGCAGTTCGAGCTATAGACTGAATATGGGGACTTCTAGACCTTGTATTCTAGTTAATTTGTAGTAGATACTGTTTATTAATGAGAAATGTAAAACAGTCATTAAAAACATAGACTGAAATATTTATGTCTAAAACATTCTCTTGTAGAAATTGTTGCTGCTTAAATTTAATGTATTAAATTGAATATATAGTATGCAATTAAGTACAGAAAAATTTGTAGTATGTATTAGAAAAATTGTTTCGTTTACTTGCCTTTCCCCTGCCTTCCTGCGCCTCGCAAGTCCCCAATATTTCTTCTAAGAAGAAAACCAATCAAGGCATAGTTGATATTCCTTGCTACGAGTGACGCGAACAATTTCTGGTGGCACCCAACTGACCAGCCGAGCGATCAATGGCGGCTCATCCTGCTGCCGGAACGATGCGGCCAAAGCCACATAATTGTTTAAAATTTTTCGTAAATTCCCCCGCAAAATGTAGCTCGATAAAAATGTGAAAATGCGGAACACAGTAGGCGGCACACCCGATGCAGATGCAGAGTAGGTAAATTTTGCGAGTCTCGGCTTTCGAGCGCCATCGAGCGGAGCCTTCTCGAGATCCGGTGGCCAAGAGATGGGTTCCGGGATCTGAGGGCCGAGGGCCGAGGACCAGGCATAAATAGTTTAATATAAAACGCAGACAAAGGCCCTTGGCTCATCTCTCGTGCCCGCATAGTTTGTTCAGCTAAGAGGAGTGGTCCTCCTCCACCCGGAGTTCCGTGAAGCGTTTCTTTTGTCTTGCGGCAAGAGGGAAAATATTTAATGCACCCACAATATTTTGCTTGGCTGGCAAGTGATAATGCACCCGCCTCGGCGATGGGGCCGAGCTGCCTTGTCCTTTGGCAGGAGCACAAAGGACCAACCGACCAGCCAGCCAACCAACCATCCAACCATCCAACCAACCAGCCATCCAAAGTGGGCGTGCCACTAGTCGTCAAAGCTGGCCTCCCTTGCCGATTCGCTTTTTATATGCATATTCAACAGTGTGGAAGTAATAAAGCCAACTTGCCGACAGTTATAGTTGCTTGTACAGTTGTCTGGAGACAGTCGGTATGCCGGAAGCAGGAAGTACTCATTGCCGGCGCAGACTTTCACGGAGCAGGATGCTGGCGATGGACGAGAGCCGGCGCGATTGGAACACCGAAACCTTTGACACTCGACTCTTGGCTACTCAATGCACACAATTTATGGGAAAATATTCAAATTTAACGATACACTTATTTTCTCAGTTACCCTAGAAAGCTAGAAAATGAATTTAAGAAAAAAAAATAATCTGATTAAAACTGTTAACACCATAAAGGAATTCGTCAAGCAAAAATTAAAAAAAATAATTATTTATATATATGTATATATATATTTTTTTTCTATTTTGTAAAATATAATTTTTCAATCGCTTATATTGCATTGGCTTTCATGCTTTTTTTAGTTTTACTTTTTTCAGAAATATTTAAAGTTAAGAAACATGAAAACAAAGCTGGTGGAAAATGTTTTTGTATTTCTCCCACATGTCGTAATTTGTCACATGACTTGATGAGCACTGCTCCGCTGACATAATTAAATTTGCCTTTGCTCCGAAGAACGTTTAGCTAATTTGCCATTCAAAACACGCTTTAATCGAACCCACCGAGTCCACATAGTCCTGCCAGCAGCCAGGCAGCGAAATTGAAAGTGACATTTATGACACAGACATTGCCGACACGACATCATCATTTCCATCAGCGGCGTTCCTCTGACGAGGCGGTGCAATTTGCCCTGTGGCACTGATTTGAATTCTGTCAACAATTTCACAACGACGACATCTGCGGAGGTGCAAAGAGGCAGTTGATTGGCCGTCTCATTGCGACGGCAGACAGGAGGCAAATTTAATTGTTGTCAATCCGACATTGCCAAATTGGAGCTGCTGACGGCTGCCTCCGATTGTTTGGGTCCGCTTTGTCTTTTGGTTAGTCGCCAGTTAATTTCCCCCTGTTTGTCAGGTTTATTCCTATGTGTAAGAAGGCCACTTTGCTGCAAGTTTTTCAGCGTTTTAGGGAAATTCTTTTATCAAAAAGGGTTATAAAAATAAATAATTAAAATAGGAAAAATAAATAGTTTGCATTATAGTATCAAATCTTTCCAAATTGGGTATAAACGAAAATATTTCATTTTTAAAATTTAAATCTTAAAAAAACAAAAATTTAGAAAATATAACTCACTGATTTCCAAATTTTATTGTAAGAGAAAAACATAACGTTTTCCATGTTAATCAGTGCTATACATTGTCAATCAACTGGTAAACTCCACCCCATCGTCCGGGTAAAGTTCTTTTTCAATGTCATGGCTACAGAAAATTGCCGACATATCCTGGGGCTCAACACCATGCTCCTGACATTGCCAGATCCTTTCACTATATCCCTGTGTACACTCCTAATTTGTAGAAGTCTCTTTTTCTGTTGCGCTTTTCTCTTCTGCATTATTGTGATTTGGGCCATAATTATTTTCTGGGTCCCTTTGAAATGCACTGGACGTGAATTTTCACCCCGCACATCCACGATCCGAACGCCAGGATGTGCCGACATTTTGCTTGTCACGCAAATGTTTCGTGTCAGATTTGCCCACCTCCGGCTACTTTCCTGCAGGAAATATTCATTTTTAACCGCGTATATATATGTATGTATACAGCGCTGCACAGTTTGCCATATTCTTCATATAAACCATTATATATTTCCAACATTAGTATGTAAGAGGTGTGTTCGTGGAAAACCGCGCTGCACGTCGACGGTCCACTTGCAGGAAGTCTGCCTGCCCACAGCCAACTGACCCATGTAACAACTCATTTCTGCAGCAAAACTTGCCTAGATGGTTACAGTGCTCTACCATCAAAGATCACAGACTGAAAAACTAAACAATATAAATATTTTACTTAAGAAGTAATGGGTTTGAAATATATTAACTGGCAAAGCCTTGCATTTTTTTTGAACATTTTCAGATAAGAAAACCAACTTTAAGTTGATTATATAATATTAAAAATTGAGAGATCATATAAAAGGTTTTCTTGCAGACTGTTTCACTGTGCACTCCTCGCTGCACGTCCTCTCGGTCGCATGCTATATTTTTCAATTTGTAAACATATCCTGCGGTGTCGGCGATGAAAGCCGCTCTGAAAGGGGCGGCATTAGCCGGCATCTGGCAGCCACGCCCCTTCCCGGGATGAAATGCATTTGCTTCATTTGTTTGGCGTGTATTTCATGTCAACTTAATGTTTATTAGAAAGCGTCTACTCAAATTGCGAAGGGGCACTGGGGAGTCGGTGGACGAAGGACGAAGGACGAAGCTCCGACTATCAAATGATGCAACCCCTGCCCAGTGGAGCTCATTCATCAGCCAACGAAAGGAGAAACCCGACCAAAAGAGCTTTGGAAGAAACCATCTTGAATCCCCCGAAGACGGAGCGGTGCGTTTTAATCTTCAATCCTTCTCTTTGTCTAAACGAAAGTCGAGTTCAAAAGTTATTTTTTTTAATTAGGGTTTTTGTGAGTCCGTAGTCAAGTCTACTTGTCGCACCAAAAGCACTATTTTATTTAAACTTATGAATTTACCATTTCAGAATCATTAACAAACATTTATGTATATTGATTAATTTTTATATTGTTGTTTAAATAATTGTGATTGGGTATTTGAACTTTTAAATTGATGTAAGCGTCACAATCAAAGCCTATATTTATAAAGATTAATACAATACATTTTCTGAGAAGTCACATTAACCTTTGGTGTTATCAGTGAAGCGCGTTATCAGTTTTGCGCAATATTCATATTTTATAAAAATGTGAATTCCTATGATTAGGCTCCCATGAATAAATAGCAAGATGTTTCAGAAAACATTTTTACCGCAGACTCACACAATTCACACAATGACTCGACTCTAAAAACACCGAGTACACAAGAGGTGCAAAAAAGTGATTACCAAAAACAAGAAGATTTTCATTAGAACTATTTTAAAATATTTTAAAATAATTAAATTATTATTATTTTTTTTTAATTTTAAAAGGTAAGAAGAAAATAAGATATCTGGTTAGGTACTTTATACTTCGAATATTATTTTCAAACTTATTTGTTTATAAGCAGCGTTTGCCAACAAGAACCCCTTATCAATAAAGCATGTGAATGAGAGGTTGAGCGGATTTATTTAGTACTGATTATTACCCAGTTGGTATTCGTTCCCTGCCAACAACTGCAGAAGTAAAATACTCAAAGATGAGAATCAACAAAGGAATTGTTTTTTTTAAACGATCAAAAATATTTTTTTTTACCGTCTGTTTATTGGTTTTTTTTTTCTGAGGCTTCGGGGCAAGAAACCGAGGAAGATGTCAGCGACGAAAATTATTTTAAATTCCCAGAAAAAAACAAGGAAATTCTTTCAACTACTTCGACCACCACAAAACCAAAGCCGGCCCTCGAAGTCCGAAAGTGCGGTCTTTACAGAAACATGACTTGCGAAAGACGATCGGAATGTTCGACAACTATGAACAAGGGTCCAAAGCTAGTTGTGGACCTTAGGGAATCGTCTAAAAATAGGTGTCATTATCTCGAGGTTTGCTGCCATCCCGATGATAAGGTGGGTATACAAAACCATTTAAATTGCTTGTCTCTCTGCGATTGATCAATGTTGCCAGCTAAAGCCATTGGATGCCGCGATTCATATGGAGCACAATCAGTGCGGGATTAGCAATGTCGGTGGCGTTTTTATGACCCTGACAGGTGGTCGCCTGGAGACGAGCTTCGCCGAGTTTGCCTGGACCGCGGCCATTCTCGATGCCGGACACAACTTCCTTTGCAATGGAGTCCTGATATCGCGAAAAGTGGTTATGACCACCGCCACCTGTTTGACGACTGAGGAGCCACTTATTGTGAGGGCCGGAGACTGGGATCTAGTCACAGATCGTGAGGCAGTGCAGCACGAAAACCGCACGGTCAAAGATCGTGTCGTACATCAGCAGTTCCGTTGGGACTCGACCCAGTACAATATCGCCCTGCTCATCCTGACCGAGGAGTTTCCACGGCTTCAGCATATCGTACCCGTGTGCCTGGCCCCAATGACCCCAGTCGATCTGGACAAGGAAAGCTGCTTTGTTTGCGGCTGGAACCACAGGATTGTCAGTAAAACCCCCTCGGCCCGCAACATCGTCCTCAAAATGGAAATGGATATCGACAAGAGCTCTTGGTCGAACAATTCTAGATCCACAATATTGGAGGGCACTCCGCGCTCCGAACAGCCCGTTTATGCCAAGGGAGCACCGCTTGTTTGTCCCACGGAGAGCAGCAGATACTACCTTGTGGGAATTTGGAGCACCAGCCTCAATGGAGGCACTCAGTTCACCGACGTCAGGCAATTTAGACTGTGGATCAACCGGGAACTGCGCCCTTTCAATATTTTCTTGTAGATCCCGAGTTGTGGGTTTTCCTACTTGAAATACAAAGCCACCGATGAAGTGATACGCAAATAATTTTCATATTTAATTAGATTGGACTGTACGTAGAACATTGAAACTTAAGTGATCCTATTTATATTAAAGACAGCCCTCTCCGCACTCGTTGCCGTAGCAAATGTCGCACGGAGAGGAGTCCACTGTGTAGTATTCGGTGGCGATGCGCTCCTTTGCGTAGTAATCGTAGAGGCGAACATAGGCCGGTTTCAGAAGGGCCACCGCATGCGCATGGATCGCCTTCAGGGTCAGGCACTTGCGGACACCGGGCTCGAGAAAATCGAAGTAGACGTGAACCTCGACGTCGCCCTTTATGGAGTCCACACGCTTCACGTGCGGAATGGCCTTGATGCTGGCGAAGGACTCGGGATCGCTCTCGTAGCCGGAGGGCAGGACGATCTGCATCAGTGCCATGTTGGTGGGCTTTCCCCTGTCCGCCGCCTCCACGGGAGTGTACTCGCCACAAATGTCGAGGGCCAGCCGTTTCTTCGCCGCTCTCTTAGCCGAGACTGTCAGTTTAAAGCTGGGACTGGGTTCCTTGGTCTCCACGTTGTAGCGGTACTGGAGTTGAGTTTGGACGCGTCCTTGACCCGAGGCCGAGAATTTGACCTCCCTGACGTTCCTCGGAAGCGAATGAGACACGACTTTCGTAGTATGTTCGGGGGTGACCTGGATCCTTTGCTTCTGGTTGTTCAAGTAGGACATTAAAATTTGCATATCTTTAATTTGTATGTTGGTTTGGAGTTCGAACTTGGTCAGGGCCATGAGGCCCACGACTGTGTCCTGCGATGAGTGGAAGCCCCCGTTGCTGTTACGTTGGCTAATTAGCCAATCGACGATGGGCATGGGTGGATCCACGAAGTTTTGTTCCAGAAGAGCGAGCAGCACATATGAGGTCACCTCCACTCGGTTGCTGGCACTGTTTGAGCTGGACCACCACTTGTGGTCACCTTTTCGATTTGCCATGCCCTCCAGCTTAGCTAGAACCGCATCGCCCTTGGAATGTTTGGCTAATTTAAGTGCCAGAGCAGCGATAGAAAGATCGTACGCATCAGTCGATTGGTCTACCTGGGCAACCACAAATTGAACAGCCTTATCAATCACGTTTCGGTACCTCGAAATGTGTTGCTGCAAAGCAAAGAATGGTGGTAAATATCACAATAAATATTTGAAGTTGCAAAACAAACGCTCACCTGGTTCTCGTAGAAAGCTAGGAGTACGAATGATGTGAGCGCCAAAGGGCTTCCATGGCTATTGTGAATAACTTGTCCCAGCTCTGGGAACTCCCCACTTGCCCTTTGCCGCGACTCCAGAAAGTCCAGGCCCGCTTTCAAGACATTCGAGTCAATGCCGATAAATTCAGAGGCTTGGTGGAAGGACCGAATTACATAAGCCGTGAGCCAAGTGCTGCCCGCAGCATCTCTCGTGCCAAAAGCACTATATGAACCGTCATTGTGCTTGTAGGTCAGCTCTCTCTGGTAGCCCGTTTCCAGATGCGTTTTGGCTGGATCCGATATGTCTGCCCTGTTTAGTTTTCTCGCCTTCAAGTAGCGCAATACCAGGATATTGGGCACAAAGTTTATCATATTCTGCTCTCCACAGCCAGACGGCATGCGAACCAGATTATCAAGGTTTTCAAGCTCTGGTGCCTGAACGGAACCACTGATGTCGAAAGTAACTTCCATGGAGTCAGGAACAATCTCTTCGTCAATCTCGAAGATTAAGCTCTTTTCGGGCACTCCCACACTTCGGCGATTCAACCGCTGGACACTAACCAGCATGGCTTTATTGCCATACTTTGTGACACCGTTGGCCTCGACCCTTAGTATCTCATGGAGGGTGTCGCCGGCCATGTTCGAGATGGCAGTGATCTTCAGAGTGGTCAGCCCAACCTTCTTAGGGCGAATCATGAACGAGGTGCTACGCGAGGTGTTGGCGGGTATCCACAGGATCTTCTCCCTTCGCAGCTGCATTAGGCCCTTTGTTACGTTTGCGTTAGTCGCCTCGACGAACTCGTATTCCCTGTCCGAGTTGTCCATCGATACAGTCGCCCGCACTGGCTCACCCAGGTAGTTGAAGACCAGCACGGGGATCGCGATGACCTCGTTGCGCTTCACGGAGTACGGCAGGTTGGTGGTCACAAAGAAGGGCTGGAACACCCGGACCTTGGTTGGGTTTCGGGTCACGGCCAGGCCGGAATCGGAGTTCAGCGAGAAGCCGGTGATCACCCAGGAGGTCATTGTATCGGGAATCACCTTCGACAGCGTGCACTCACCATTGGCACCCACGCTGTTAACTCGGTTAGAAATCGTGTGCAACTCAAAGGAAGAGAGGACTTACTCTGTTATATTGGAAAACAGCCAGGTTTCCGGAAAGCGCTTACGAACCTGTGGTGTTGAAACCGGCCCGCTTGGCCGTTCAATAGGAGGAGGTGGTGAGTTCGTTTCTGCAATGAAGCAGCACTTCATTAAATCAACTCCAATCCTCGTAGGTGGTAAGAAAAAACTCACCTGATGTCGAAGCACCTTGGCCTGCACTCTGATAGGATGGGATTCCAGAGCAAGTTTGATTACCTTGAGGTTATAGGTAATAGGTTAGGTCACTGATACACATGTTGTATATTTACTACTTACCAGGATTGGTGTAACAGCCAGCTGGTAGGGGAAATCAAGCTAAGAAAAGTCATTCAAACAATCTACTAATATTACTACTTACGCAGTTTTGTGTCGGTGTGTATATTTGCGTTGGTTAGGGTGACCAAATCGGTAGAGTAGCTGTCCAGATTATCCAGTATTTGGTTCCGGTTGAGGTCATTACCAGATCTTAGGAGCAGCACACTCTGATCGACCCCTAGGAGTCCCACGAAGGAATGGGGGTCGGTTTTTATCCTAAGGTTCACCTTTTCTGCGGGCTTTGCCTCCTTTGGCGCTGAGATTTCAATCTAAAAATATGTTTGGAGGTTTGCGGCTTTGGTTGGCTAACTTATGTTGTCTCACCGTGTTGCCGAAATCCTTCTCAAAGTCGACCGTTGCCTTATCGGACCTTAGTACCCCGTCTACGACATAGTGTACGTAGAGTGTGGCTTGGGGCACCATATCGAAGGTGGGATCGACTTGCACTTCATATGATGTGGCTCCCCTTGGGACAACCATGTACTGATTGGCGATGATGTTTCCCCGGCCGACAATCGTCAGCGTAAAGTAAGGAAAATGGCTAGTGGATACCACATTAATTTTCAGTGGCGTTCCCAGTTTCGGGCTGTAATGCGAAATATCCGCATAAGTTAATTCAAAGACTATTACCGATCTGATTGTACTCACTTTTTAGTGATGACCTCGATCTTTAGCGACTGGTCGAGCTTGTACACATACTGTTTAATGTCGACCGCGTTATCAGTTTTGGCTGTCACAAGACAACTCATGCAGGAAAAATGGGGAAATTGAATAGTTTGGGTGGCGATGCCTCCTTCGACAACAGCCTCGAAACTTTTACCTTTCTGGCAGCACAGCACGTCGAACCTGACCTTTTTCGAAGTGCCCCTGACTGGAGAGCCGTCCAAATTCTTGACCGCAGTGCTGAACGTGTAGCCGATGCCAGGTATGTAGTTCGTTGGCCAGGAGATGTCGTGCAGCGAATGGCGATGCTGATGGAGGGTCACGTAAGCGGAGCCGTTGTGCTTGAGGTCCGTCAGCTCCTCCGTGACGGTGGCCACAATTTTCAGGGGACTCTTGCTGCTGGCCGTGATGGGGAACTGGACGTTAACCTGTCCGTCGATGGGCAGCCTCTGCTCCGTGCCACTGCCCTCGATTGAGACCACCAGCGATCCCTTCACCGGCTTTCTGAACGTGTACCTTGCCCTGATGGTCGCCTTGATATCGCCATCGCTGGCCGCCACATCCTTGGCGGTGATCACGCTGACCTCGAACTTCGGCACCACATACTTGTCCACCACCAGCACCTTGGACTCCTTGGCCTCGCCCGGCACCTCGACCGCCAGCGTCCAGTTGCCCAGCACCGGCTGGTCGGACAGCCGCAGCTCCCCCGAGTAGAGGCCCCCGATCGGGCTCACATCCTTCCACCGCTTGATCAGGTTAGCTTCCCCGTCGTGGATCTCAATCGAGGCGGGCTTGTCTAACTTGGCCGGAGTCGTGTACTTGTTGAGGAAGAGCACCCTGAACTGCACAGTATCGGAGGGCTTGTAGGTGGCCTTGTCAGTCTGGATGTAGATCCATGTTTTGTCGTCGGCAAAGAGTAGCTTGGTCGAATCGCTAAAAACGAGTCCCCCAGCACTCGCGACTTTAAGCTGGTAATCTCCTCGGGAGAGTTTCGGGACATCGAAGGTGACTTCCACCGTGGCCTTTGGCAGGACCTCCACCGACTGCATCTCATTGAGTGAGGGTCCGTTTAGGCTGACTGTTATTTCACAGGGTCCATTTGCGTTGTGCACCGTGATGGCAACTCTGTACGTGTTCCCGGAACGAATGGTCTTTGGCGCCACGACGGTATAGATACTGCGGGGTTTCAACATAAGTTCGGTTTAATCAGTCAAAAACAAGGTGAAAACAATCGATAACTTTACTTAGTATAAAATTAAAAAGAACTGCAAGCTTTTTCACCTTAATTAACCTTATGTTTGCATATTTTGAAACGCTTCAGGATTTAATTACTTCTTTTCAAAGTAGTGATTCATCAGTTATTAAATTGAAAAGTCATTAGGGTTATCATTAAATTTATGGAAAACGCTATCACAATTTTTTCCCGTGAGTCAAACTTCTTATTGCCCCGTCTTCCAGGCGACAAGTCTTGGATTGATAGCAAAATAAGAAAGGAAGCTAGTTTCGGCAAGCCGAAGCTTATATAACATTGCAGTCATCAAATATTTCAAACAAAATACAGAAAGGCTAAACAACATCGAATCTATGATGATTTTTCAATTTATTTTCCATATTTTCTTTCAATATTTTCGACATCTTTTATATGACAGCTATATGATATAGTCGCCCGAAATTTAATTCAAAATTAAAGAGTCGTTAAAAAAGTCTAAATTCCAAAAATCATGATTGTCTGATGAAAAACAACGATGTTATCATTAAATTTCCGTTAATTCTATATGGATTTTTCGATCATTCCTATGGTAGCTATGTAGATGATATAGTTGTCCGATTCTTATGAAATTTTTTTCTCGGTTCAAGGGTAGTTAAAAAAGTCGATGTTGTAAAAATCATGCTTGTGGAATAAAAAGCAACGACGTTATATTTTTTTTGCCCTTATTTATATATTTATATTTCGATCTTTCCTATGGAAGCTATATGATAAAGTTATCCGATTTTGATCTAATTTAACCCGAAATTCGATAGTGGTTTAAAATCACCATCTGAAAGAAATCAAGTCGATCTGATCAAAAACAACGGAGTGAGAATTTTTTTTCAATCTCTCTTATGGGAGGTATCCTATATAGTCGCCCGAACTGCCTCCAATAACGTCACAACTTTTGGCACAGTTTCAGCAAGATAGCTTTACAACTAAGATACTGATGCTGATTCAGAATATGTAAACTTTGTGTGACTCCTTCACTGCGTTTCAAGCTTCTGACTGAAATTATAATAACTTTGCTCTGCAAGGGTATAATTAAGAGAACTGATATATTTCTTTGAAAAGGAACAGACGAACAGACCGACAGATGGAGATGCTGGTATAGAACATATATACTTTATGGGCCTGAAATAAAAATTATAATAACCGTGAAAGGAAATATATCTTACCCATCGGCTTTTATTGACGACACAAATAATACAAATACACTCAGGACTAACCGCAACATATTGCAGTCCTTTTATTCTGTTCTTCAATTATGAAAAAGACTAGGTTTACTTTTGGTCCGAACACAATCAATCGACACAGCGCTTTGACGATTTGTTTCAATCGAGTGCCTCTTAAATATCGCCTCGCACAATCAAATATACAAACAAGACATACTCCTGATAAGAAGAATAATGAATTCCCAGTATTACAAATAACAAAAAATGAAATAAAATTAATACAATAAATTATAAGCAAGAAAAGAAGATAGCTTCGGCGAACAGAAGTCATCACAAATTTCGAGCAAAATGCATAAAGGCTAAAAAACATTGAAGGCGATTTCTTCCATGTCCGACTTTTAAAAAAATTAATTTAAAATTTCAGTGTCATTAGATAATTATATACATATTTTAAAAATCATAATTGTCTGATAAGGGGAACTATGCTAAAAGCATTTTGGGGTATACCAATTAAGGGGGGAACCTCATGGATTCCTGAAAAAAATCGCATTTTTTTTTTTTTTTTTAATCGATAAAAAAACTATTTGAGAATGTGCGTGTAAAATTTCAGATCAAAATTCCAAGTACTTCTGAAGACACAGTCGGTAGAGTGGCTCGGCGCACGATCGCGTCGGTTATTTCTAAAAACTTTGAACCGCGTTTTCTCAAAACCACATTTTTCAAATTGGCGTACAGAATTACAAAAAAAGTTTTCAACCGATTGACCTCAATTAAATGTATTTTGTTGGTAATAAATAACTATTCTATATGAACCAAAGATATCAATAGATTTCTCAATTTTTCATACTTTTAATGCAATAATTTTAACAAATTTTACTGCGAAAAATTGTTAATTTTGGTTTTAACACAACAAAAAAGTGAATTTTCAATCGTCATTGACTTTTTATTGGTTCATTTAGAATAAATAAATGTACTTTATAACACATAAAAAAATTACCAATTTCAGACCAAAATTACGGACCCTATCGTGTACGCCATTTGACCACTCCAGTCGCGAGGCAACGCAGTCCGCCATGGATAACGACGCCATTTTGTGAAATTTTGACTAGTTTTTTTTTTTTCAAAGTTGTTCCAAAGTACCTTCAAATAAATGTAAAAGACTGAAGATGTGTATCGTTTTTTTCATGGTAAAAAAAAGATCGAAATTGAACCTTTCTTTCTGGGCTATCCAGGAGGTGCCCCCCTTAAAAATCGGACACCATTAAAAAAGTTTTGCGCTTTTATGTGCTGGCTTTAGCCCATTTTCCGAAAAAAAACCCCAGTTTTTGGACTTTTGACAGGGGTGAAATCAATACAAGAAAGGAAGCTAGCTTCGGCAAGCCGAAGCTTATATACCCTTGCAGTCATCTAATATTTCGAACAGAATACACAAAGGCTAAACAACACCGAAGCTACGACGACTTTTCTATTAATTTTCCATATTTTTGACTATTGGTCATATGACAGCTATATGATATAGTCGTCCGATTTTAATGAAATTTTATTTGTTAGTCGTTAGAAGACTCTATACTCAAAAAATCATGATTGTCTGATGAAAAACAACGAGGTAATAATTTTATTTCCGTTATTTCTATATAGATTTTTCGATCTTTCCTATGGCAGCTATATGATATAGTACTCCGATTTTTATGAATTTTTTTTCTCGATTTAAGAGTACATATATACTTTATAGGGTCTGAGGTGCCTCCTTCACTGCGTTGCAAACTTCTGACTGAAATTATAATACCATTTGCTCTGCAAGGGTATAAAAATGTGAAAAAATCAACTGAAAAATCAAAAGCAAACTAAGTTTTTTAGGGGACGATGCCAGACGCATTTTGAGGCATACCAATTAAAAATCGGATTTGACTAAGGAAAGTTATGTGCTTTCTCAAGTGCTGGTTTTAAATCTTTTTCCTAAAAAGAAATTTTTCCGATTTTGACGGGGTCACATCATAAAAATGTGGAAAAAGTCGACCCAGAAATAGAAACCATACTAAGGATGCAGTTCCTTGGGGGACTATCTCAGAAGCGTTTTAACGTATACCAATTCAAAATCGGACATCATTAAACAAATTATACGCTTTTTAATGAGGGTTTTGGTATTTTACTTATCCGAATAAGTCAAGTTTTTAGAAAACTAAATATGTATTTAAAAAATTTAAATTTTATGATAAAAACATCGAAAGTAAATTTTGTTGCGTAAATATTATTTATAATTTTCGTTTCCTCTTTTATCGTCTATATATTATTTTTTTTATCTATTTTATAAAAGCTTTCCGATATAGTCGCCCGATCCAGCCTGTTCCAGTTGTTTTTTCTGCCGCCCGCGGCTGTTTTCCCGTCGATCGGCGTAAAAGTTACCGCGGTAACTATTTGGCATAATAGGCTAGATTTATTTCACAGCTTGGAGGATGTTAAGCAGATTTCGGGGCTTCGTCGGCCTGGCCCCCGGCAGGTCCTTACATTCGTGTAGACCGCCACAGGGTGCCTTTCTCACAACTCCACTAGATCTTCGTCGGCCTGGCCCTCAACAGGTCCTCACTCCCGTGATACTAGGTACGTTTCGCACAACATCCACTGCTAAGACTACACCAACGCGCCCAACACCTTACCCTGCACCCTCTGGATCTCAGCTTGGCAGTCTCAGCTTATGTGGATGTGACCGTCGTTGGGCATCTTGACTCTGCGATCTTGATCCGGATATTTTGGAACTTGGTATTCACATACTTGGGTTTCCACTCTGTTGCACGACTTTCTCTTGACTGTCCCTCCAGCGTGCGTGCGTCCTCCTTTTATACGCAAACGTAATTTCCCTCCAGACTGATCGTGTGTTCGGTTCCAAAGTACAAAAGGTCCTGTTAGTTTCCCTCGAGATTGATCGCGTGATTGGGTCCAAAGTACAAAAGGTCCCGTTAGTTCACGATATCTCTGTACGGGTCCGAGGTCCGCAACTTCACCGTTATAACAAGTCCAAAGTCCGCAGCTTTACCTTTTTAACGGGTCCAAAGTCCGCAGCTTTACCGTTATAACGCGTCCATAGTGCGCAGAGGTACCGTTAGCTCACGGTCTCTCCTCTTTGCGCCTGTTCGAAGTACGCAGACTCACCGTTATGTTGGGTCTTAAGTCTGCAGAGTCCAAAATCCGCAGAGCCGTTAATTCCCTTTTTCCTCTGCATGCAGCTCCTCCCGCTGTTGCTATGCAGAGCTATCCTGCACTTGCAATTGTGGGGAGTTTTACAACTCTTCACATTATTGCGTGCATTAATTGCACAACTTTTTGTAAACTTTTAGCAAGAACGCTTTAAAACTGAGAGACCAGATTATTTAGAAACAGACAGACAAACCATCGACTTTCTGAATTTACAGGCCCAGGATATTAGCCCCCGAATATATATTTACGACAAGAGTTCCAGTCACAATGGAATCGGGCCCACCAATGTTTGTACATTAGTAGCATTTGTGCAAATTTGAATTTGAAAATTGTTGGAGAAACAAAACAGCATTGCAGATCACCGACGTCAGGCAATTTAATGTGTAGATCAATCGTATACTTCGTCCTTTCAACATTTTCTTGAAGACCTCGAACTGTGGGTTTCCCAACCATAAATATACAACCACCAATAAAGTAATGTGAAAAGGATTTTTAAATTTAATTAGATTGGACTAAACGCTTAACATTTAAACTGTAATAAATCTATTTCTATTAAAGGCAGCCCTCTCCGCACTCGTTGCCGTAGCAAATGTCGCACGGAGAGGAGTCCACTGTATAGTATTCGGTGGCGATGCGCTCCTTTGCGTAGTAATCGTAGAGGCGAACATAGGCCGGTTTCAGAAGGGCCACCGCATGCTCATGGATCGCCTTCAGGGTCAGGCACTTGCGGACACCGGGCTCGAGAAAATCGAAGTAGACGTGAACCTCGACGTCGCCCTTTATGGAGTCCACACGCTTCACGTGCGGAATGGCCTTGATGCTGGCGAAGGACTCGGGATCGCTCTCGTAGCCGGAGGGCAGGACGATCTGCATCAGCGCCATGTTGGTGGGCTTTCCCCTGTCCGCCGCCTCCACGGGAGTGTACTCGCCACAAATGTCGAGGGCCAGCCGTTTCTTGGCCGCTCTCTTAGCCGAGACTGTCAGTTTAAAGCTGGGACTGGGTTCCTTGGTCTCCACGTTGTAGCGGTACTGGAGTTGAGTTTGGACGCGTCCTTGACCCGAGGCCGAGAATTTGACCTCCCTGACGTTCGTCGGAAGCGAGTGAGACACGACTTTCGTAGTATGTTCGGGGGTGATCTGGATCCTTCGCTTCTGGTTGTTCAAGTAGGACATTAAAATTTGCATATCTTTAATTTGTATGTTGGTTTGGCGCTCGAACTTTGGCAGGGCCCTGCGGCCCACGACTGTGTCCTGCGATGAGTGGAAGCCCCCGTTGCTGTTACGTTGGCTAATTAGCCAATCGACGATGGGCATGGGTGGATCCACGAAGTTTTGTTCCAGAAGAGCGAGCAGCACATATGAGGTCACCTCCACTCGGTTGCTGGCACTGTTTGAGCTGGACCACCACTTGTGGTCACCTTTTCGCTTTGCCATGCCCTCCAGCTTAGCTAGAACCGCATCGCCCTTGGAATGTTTGGCTAATTTAAGTGCCAGAGCAGCGATAGAAAGATCGTACGCATCAGTCGATTGGTCTACCTGGCCGACCACAAATTGAACAGCCTTATCAATCACGTTTCGGTATCTCGAAATGTGTTGCTGCAAAGCAAAGAATGATGGTAAATATCACAAAATATATTTGAAGTTGTAAAACAAACGCTCACCTGGTTCTCGTAGAAAGCTAGGAGTACGAATGAGGTGAGAGCCAAGGGGCTTCTATAACCAATGTCGAAAAGGTATCCCAGCTCTGGGAACTCCCCACTTGCTCTTTGCTGCGACTCTAGAAAGTCTAGGCCCGATTTCAAGACATTCGAGTCAATGCTGATAAATTCAGAGGCTTGGTGGAAGGACCGAATTACATAAGCCGTGAGCCAAGTGCTGCCTGCAGAATCACTCGTAAAAACACTATATGAACCGTCATGACGCTTGTAGGTCAGCTCTCTCTGGTAGCCCGTTTCCAGATGCGTTTTGGCTGGACCCGATATGTCTGGCCTGTTTAGTTTTCTCGCTTTAAGGTAGCGCAATACTAGGATGTTTGGCACGAAGTTTACCATATTCTGCTCTCCACAGCCATACGGCATGCGAACCAGATTATCAAGGTTTTCAAGCTCTGGTGCCTGAACGGAACCACTGATGTCGAAAGTAACTTCCATGGAGTCAGGAACAATCTCTTCGTCAATCTCGAAGATTAAGCTCTTTTCGGGCACTCCCACACTTCGGCGATTCAACCGCTGGACACTAACCAGCATGGCTTTATTGCCATACTTTGTGACACCGTTGGCCTCGACCCTTAGTATCTCATGGAGGGTGTCGCCGGCCATGTTCGAGATGGCAGTGATCTTCAGAGTGGTCAGCCCAACCTTCTTAGGGCGAATCATGAACGAGGTGCTACGCGAGGTGTTGGCGGGTATCCACAGGATCTTCTCCCTTCGCAGCTGCATTAGGCCCTTTGTCACGTTTGCGTTAGTCGCCTCGACGAACTCGTATTCCCTGTCCGAGTTGTCCATCGATACAGTCGCCCGCACTGGCTCACCCAGGTAGTTGAAGACCAGCACGGGGATCGCGATGACCTCGTTGCGCTTCACGGAGTACGGCAGGTTGGTGGTCACAAAGAAGGGCTGGAACACCCGGACCTTGGTTGGGTTTCGGGTCACGGCCAGGCCGGAATCGGAGTTCAGCGAGAAGCCGGTGATCACCCAGGAGGTCATCGTATCGGGAATCACCTTCGACAGCGTGCACTCACCATTGGCACCCACGCTGTTAACTCGGTTAGAAATCGTGTGCAACTCAAAGGAAGAGAGGACTTACTCTGTTATATTGGAAAACAGCCAGGTTTCCGGAAAGCGCTTACGAACCTGTGGTGGTGAAACCGGCCCGCTTGGCCGTTCAATAGGAGGAGGTGGTGAGTTCGTTTCTGCAATGAAGCAGCACTTCATTAAACCAACTGCGATTCTCGTAGGTGGTAAGCAAAAACTCACCTGATGTCGAAGCACCTTGGCATGCACTCAGAGGGGTTAACATTCCAGAGCAAGTTTGATTACCTTGAGGTTATAGGTTATAGGTAATATGTTAGGTCACTGATACACATGATGTATATTTACTACTTACCAGGATTGGTGTAACAGCCAGCTGGTAGGGGAAATCAAGCTAAGAAAAGTCATTCAAACAATCTACTAATATTACTACTTACGCAGTTTTGTGTCGGTGTGTATATTTGCGTTGGTTAGGGTGACCAAATCGGTAGAGTAGCTGTCCAGATTATCCAGTATTTGGTTCCGGTTGAGGTCATTACCAGATCTTAGGAGCAGCACACTCTGATCGACCCCTAGGAGTCCCACGAAGGAATGGGGGTCGGTTGTTATCCTAAGGTTCACCTTTTCTGAGGGCTTTGCCTCCTTTGGCGCTGAGATTTCAATCTGAAAAGATGTTTGGAGGTTTGCGGCTTTGGTTGGCTAACTTATGTTATCTCACCGTGTTGCCGAAATCCTTCTCAAAGTTGACCGATGCCTTGTCGGACCTTAGTACCCCGTCTACGACATAGTGTACGTAGAGTGTGGCTTGGGGCACCATATCGAAGGTGGGATCGACTTGCACTTCATATGATGTGGCTCCCCTCGGGACAATCATGTACTGATTGGCGATGATGTTTCCCCGGCCGACAATCGTCAGCATAAAGTAAGGAAAATGGCTAGTGGATACTACATTAATTTTCAGTGGCGTTCCCAGTTTCGGGCTGTAATGCGAAATATCCGCATAAGTTAATTCAAAGACTATTACCGATCTGATTGTACTCACTTTTTAGTGATGACCTCGATCTTTAGCGACTGGTCGAGCTTGTATACATACTGTTTAATGTCGACCGCGTTATCAGTTTTGGCTGTCACAAGACAACTCATGCAGGAAAAATGGGGAAATTGAATAGTTTGGGTGGCGATGCCTCCTTCGACAACAGCCTCGAAACTTCTACCTTCCTGGCAGCACAGCACGTCGAACCTGACCTTTTTCGAAGTGCCCCTGACTGGAGAGCCGTCCAAATTCTTGACCGCAGTGCTGAACGTGTAGCCGATGCCAGGTATGTAGTTCGTTGGCCAGGAGATGTCGTGCAGCGAATGGCGATGCTGATGGAGGGTCACGTAAGCGGAGCCGTTGTGCTTGAGGTCAGTCAGCTCCTCCGTGACGGTGGCCACTATTTTCAGGGGACTCTTGCTGCTGGCCGTGATGGGGAACTGGACGTTAACCTGTCCGTCGATGGGCAGCCTCTGCTCCGTGCCACTGCCCTCGATTGAGACCACCAGCGATCCCTTCACCGGCTTTCTGAACGTGTACCTTGCCCTGATGGTCGCCTTGATATCGCCATCGCTGGCCGCCACATCCTTGGCGGTGATCACGCTGACCTCGAACTTCGGCACCACATACTTGTCCACCACCAGCACCTTGGACTCCTTGGCCTCGCCCGGCACCTCGACCGCCAGCGTCCAGTTGCCCAGCACCGGCTGGTCGGACAGCCGCAGCTCCCCCGAGTAGAGGCCCCCGATCGGGCTCACATCCTTCCACCGCTTGATCAGGTTAGCTTCCCCGTCGTGGATCTCAATCGAGGCGGGCTTGTCTAACTTGGCCGGAGTCGTGTACTTGTTGAGGAAGAGCACCCTGAACTGCACTGTATCGGAGGGCTTGTAGGTGGCCTTGTCCGTCTGGATGTAGATCCATGTTTTGTCGTCGGCAAAGAGTAGCTTGGTCGAATCGCTAAAAACGAGTCCCCCAGCACTCGCGACTTTAAGCTGGTAATCTCCTCGGGAGAGTTTCGGGACATCGAAGGTGACTTCCACCGTGGCCTTTGGCAGGACCTCCACCGACTGCATCTCATTGAGTGAGGGTCCGTTTAGGCTGACTGTTATTTCACAGGGTCCATTTGCGTTGTGCACCGTGATGGCAACTCTGTACGTGTTCCCGGAACGAATGGTCTTTGGCGCCACGACGGTATAGATACTGCGGGGTTTCAACATAAGTTCGGTTTAATCAGTCAAAAACAAGGTGAAAACAATTAAGAGCTTAACTTAGTATGGCAGGAAAAATAACTGCAAGCTTTTTCACCTTAATTAACCTTATCTTTGCATATTCATTTCGGAGATTAACAATACAAAATCTATTCGTTATAAAAGAACAAATAAATTACACTAAAATAAAATATGGATTATTTTAAGTGTTTTTAATTAAATTCATTAAATTTCAAGAACTTTGAAATGCTTTAGGATTCAATTACTTATTTTCAAAGTGATTCATCTGTTATTAAATTGAAAAGTCATTAGGGTTATCATAAATTTTATGAAAGTTTATTTATAAATATTAAACAAATCTTTCCCTCTGCGACAAGTCTTCGAAAGACATTCTACTTACCCATCGGCATTTATTGACGACACGAATAATACAAATAAACTCAGGACTATCCGCAACATATTGCAGTCCTTTTAATTGTTTTTTTCAATTATTAAAAAACTATGATTTTTTTTGGTCTGAACACAATCAATCGACACAGCGTTTTGGCGATTTGTTTCAATTGTGTGCTCTTATATATCGCCCGGCGCCGAAAAAAAGACAAACGAGACTTATTCTTGATAAGGAGATAAGGGAATTTCCTGAAATATAAATATTAAAAAAATAATAATTTAATTAATACAATAACAAATTGCAATAAGAACAGAAGCTTTCGGTTTTGTATATACCCGTCGGCTGCCTAAATATGACATGATAACTACAACGAACGCTGACATTAAATAGAAAAACTAATAAATAATAATAATAAAGAAGAAACCATCGAGGTTTCAAATTTTTCATGCTAAAATTATTTTCGTGTGCATGAGCTGCATGTGGTGGAATTAATGCTAATGCACGGCGTTTGGAGGCCCTTATCCTGTACGGCCAGGACATTTGCCCCCCGCAGATCGACCACCCGAACCAAGAAAATTTTTTATTATCTTGACAGCGCTCACTCCCAGCCACAATGGGCTCGGGTCCACAAATGTTCGTACTTTAGCAACATTTGTGCAAATTCTTGGGCGGTTTCGCAGGTGCTGATTATATTGAAAATTATTGGTGAAACATTGCAGCAAAAGGAGCACTTGGATTTGGAGGCGAAAGTGGGCTGAAATAACGAGTTTTCTCGGCATGGCGCTGTATGGGGGCTATAAAAGTTGATTGCTTGCTTTGGGGAGCACATAGTGTGGTCTAGCTGAGTGCGGAAATGTGCGTGAGTACTAGTCAAGTAAATTTTGGATGAATTTAAAAGTTGCTTTAAAAATTTAAAAAAAAATTATGTGTTTACTTCAAGATGAAATTTATTTAGTTATATTCTAACGGAATGAGTATCTTTTTTAATACAATTAGAAGTTAAGCTTAATTAAAGTTCACTCAAGCTTGGTCGCGAAACTCATAGTTTCTCTTTTTCCCTCCAAAAGCTTGTTTACTATTTGCTCTCTGTGCTTGACAATAATTTGAAAATTGATGATGTGCACGCAATAAAGTGTCAAATATCGACACACATCAGCGCACCATGAGGCCGACATCGTGACTGCCGATGCAAGAGCTATGAAGACAGGGCAGCTTTGGCGGCTTCAGAAAATTTATAAAAAAAAATGATTAAGCGCATAGACCGCGGTTGAGTGATTTTCGAAAAAAAAAGAATGGTTAGTAACTGCAAAAAAAAGCAAGGATTCCACTTACGTCCTTTAATATAATTCGTTGGCTTGTCAACTAATAGTTATCCTCTTAAAGATAATTACATTTTTTTTATCTGCAGCACATTATCACGTTCAACATTTTCACGTTTTAAAATTTTGTGGACTCATATGGAGAAAAATAAAATACCTGAAGCTTGTTTCCAACAGTTTTCGTTATCGAAGTTGCTTTTAAAATATACTCGAAAACCATACACCCAAGGAATGCGTTGAACTTACACTTGAGTTTTATTTTAATTGTTGCTGCAACACACAACACGGATTATATTAACTTCAAACAAACACCGAAGACAATCAGAGAAGACAATGCATTTGATCAGGCCACACGCTACAAAAATGGTTTCGGAATCCGAGTTCGAGTAAATTAATAATATACCAAATAAGTGATTTAATAATAACCCCTTAATCAGAAATTTCGAAGGCGAAGAGGAGGAGGAGCACTCCACCCGACCCTTGGCTATAAAATTGTCCAGGTGAGTGGTTTATTAGCGAAGAATATAAGATTTCCGATTCGTTCTGGGTTTGATGCCGTCACAGGACCACAGTGCAGTTGATCGACTACAAGATGTTCATTGCGGCTCGTCGCATCCAAGCCTTCTGGCGGGGCCACCGCGTCCGCAAGCTGCTCCACCAGCGCTGGCAGGCGGCAATTGTCATCCAGCGCTGGTGGCGCGGCTTTTGGGCGCGGCACAGCCTGCGGGAGCAGCTGGAGCAGCGGCTGCAGGAGACGATCCTCGAGCACTTTCACATCGCTGCCACCCGCATCCAGGCTCTCTATCGCGGCTGGCGGGACAGGAGATTCATTCACGATGTGCAGAACCTGCGCCGAATGCAGAACTCCGCCGCCGAGGAACTTCTCAACTGCGTGATCCTTCAGCTGTACTACATGAGGCAGGAAGGATCCCTTCCGGGGATCTTCTCGTTGCGAAACTCCCCGTAAGTTAGCCATTAGAGGTCCTCAATGAAAACAGAGTAAATGATTGTCATTTCATGTTGCAGCTGCCTTTCCAAAATCGAGAAACTAAAGGCCACTATGTTGTTCCGATTCTACAATGGTCGGGTGCTATCGATGGTGGAGACTGGGTTGGCCCAAAGAGAAGGCTATAACAGGCAGTTTGAGTCCAGCACTTCACATACCCAGTTCCCCTATGCAGGACCCAACTTCAACGACTGTTTTGAGCCACCAGATGATCGCTTGCAAGTCAAGAATTTACCCGACGATCCTCGTTATGCCCAGATAATTGCACAATACGAGGAGTCTCAGCTGGATAAAAACTTGAGAAACACCCATTTACGTTCGAATTCGCGTGAGTATTATTTAAGCACCTCCTTTTAAATTTTTTCTTATTCGAATTCTTTCTAAAGGAAAACGCCAAGAACTGATGCAAAATATAATCGCTAGAGAAAGGCTTGCAACACGTAAATTCTGCAGTTATATCATAGATCACATGCGTAGATGGACAATATGGGGTGGCGGAAATGAAAATACTAAACGAAGCAGTAAGACGACCCGTGAAGAAATGCGAGGATTTTTGAACAGGGTTCATCAGATGCTGAGTGATGGCGTTGTGTTTTCCGTAGATGATATTGCTGAGCTGGGAAGCACATATCCCAACAGATAAATTAAGAGTTTCACATATTTTTGTACACAGAACATCGAATACTCGAATGTTATTTTTTTTAAGACACGCCTTTCTGTTGCAGTTCAAAATAGCTTGGGGTGTTGGGTAAGATGGCAATCAAAGAAAACAAATTAGAGTTTAGACGGGCTCCCATTGTGATTTAGTTCCCATGCCAAAATCTGAAGAATTGGCAACATCTGCCTTTGACTGTTTACTAATTAGCACCTATTTATTCACCTTTGCTTTCTTTAATTTCGCTGTGCACTCACCTTCTGCTCGAACCCCACCACCAGCACCAGCACCACCACCACCGTCGAGCAGCCACATTTTTCATGCGAAGAATTTTCCTTTGTTTTCAGCAGGCATTTAATTTATTTTGCTCTTGGCCGGGCCAAGAAAGAGCCGGCATACGGGAGCAATTTGTGAGCTGCGTGGTAAATCTTGGCATGCTTACCTATAAATATTTGACATGGCTACAATAGCTGTGAGCCCCCCTAACCCGCCGAACCCCGAGACGTGGCGGCCACACATGGCCCGCTCCAGTTCGCGCCAGGACTTAACCGGCTCGAAGAGCCTGCGGCATACGTGCAGGAGCATTATCCGCATACTTGAAGCGGGTCCTTGAACGTGACCACCCTTCTGCAGGCGTCGAGCCTGCAACGGGATGGCAAATTAGATTTGCCTATAATTAATATGCACGATATGTGGCGTTAACTTGTGTGAAAATTACTCGGCTGCCTGACGTGACGGTGCGCGATTCGTGTGGAACGCGAGCCCAAAAACCATATACTCCAATTACCATCTATCTATTCGCCACTGGCGGCCCGTTGTTATTCGATTGCGATACTCGCCCCTAAGTATTTCCTAATTAGTTGTTGATGACAAAGCGACGTGAGTGATTTCTGCAGACGGGATGTCTGCAAAGGTGATACGGCAAATTAAATATGTGAGCAGCGGTGCTACGAAAATCAAAGTGTCAAATTGGGTTGCCATCAAAATGAATTAAATTAGCCGGAGTAAATTTTATAAAGACTGTTTATAACTCCTAATCAGAAACCTAGCAATTAATATATCTCAAGTGTGTTTGTCAAGAAGGAAAAAACACTTGCCAAATCAATTGCCAGACTTTTGGGATTTGTCAAAAGAGCCTGTCTCATCGAATTTCCGGTCGTTGTCTTTCCTCGCTTTTCTTCCTTTCCATCCAATTGAGGCGTTGCCGTAGACAAACTTTTAAGTTTTTAATTAATTTGTTTTGCTGCGGTCCCCGTCGCCGCAACGCAGCTTTTTTCCGCCCCACTCATTTTTCCTTGGGCGGCAGGAGAAAAAAAGGTTAAGTGGTTTCATTTGGCAAACATTTACCCAGACCCGAAACGCAAAAGTTCCCCAGCCGCTCATCAATGCCCAAGTGTGTAAGACTTTTAATAGGCTTTTGTGTGGAAAATAAATTGATGCGGTGCACCTGTAAAACGCTCCAACAATGAGGCCGTCTGAGCCAGACAAATGTCTGTCCATGTGATGCGGCCGACCGCATCCCAGCCAGAAAGTTTCGGGTGCGGGAAGGCAGCCGGGATTCAGTTAATTTTGAGTAAATTGTTAGAGAATTGTTTGCTTCTGCTTCTGCTTCTACTTCTGGAAGAGAACCCCATGTGGCTGGCTGGCTTGTGGCCTTGACTCGAAAATTATGGCATTTAATTACCAAGTGTTTTGGTTTACTCTCAGTTCTTTCCTTGATTAGTACACACTTTAAAGATCTGAAGTTCAGCAGGAGTTTTCGTTTTATTTACAATCAGTTGTAAATCATTCATATTCGGTGAAATATTTCAGAATGTATGCCATGGCCGCTGGATTGTCCTGCTGCACCAGATGTCCTGCCCGGAGGACCCAAAACATACTGAGTCGTCCGCCATGCTTTTCGTAGCCCTCGAGCATCCCGTCGATTCGGAAGGCGGTACGGTGAGCCCTCGCATACTCAGACCTGCGGCTCCACTTCAGTCGATTGATCCAGTTAACAGTGCCGGGAGTGGCGCAAAGTAGATCCAGAGTTCCCGAAAATATGCCAACTTTTATGGGCGTTTCCTCCAGCAATCTGGTAACTAAAAAAAAGAGGTTAAAAAAATGAATGATTTTATAATTAATTTCCTCTTAAGTAAGTTAAAATGAAGTCAAATTAATTATGATTACCTATATGGGTTGCTGGCTTGAAAAGATCATCATAAAGGCTTTCGAAGACCGTGGAATTTTGATCCATCCACACGGGCATTTTCTCTAATCCCAGTACCCTCGTGACATTCGTCCGCATGAAGTCGCTCATTTTTTTAGGTCCTCGCCGTACCGGTAGACCTCGTCCTCGTGCACCCGTCGCTGAGTGTTGTAGATGAAGACATTGCCAGTGCTGGCGGAGATCTCATCTTGAACATCAGATGCCTTCCGCAGAGCCTTCAACCACTGTTTGTCGTACACAAGGGCGGCCAACTGCCCGGAGAGTCGCGATATCCTGCGGTAACCGTCCTCGTCCACAATGCCCATTTGGAGCAGGTAAGGTGCGTAGGAGAGGACGCTGTCCAGAGGAGAGGTCCAGGGATTACCCACCACCACGGACTCTAGGCGGCAATCAACTTGGCCCCTTTTCTTGGCCGAGTGCAGCTCCAGTGCAAATTCGGGAGCCATCTTGCCGCCGTAACTCTCCGAGAAGATGTGTAGGGGAACGTTTCGAAACGCCGGGTACTTCTCGAGAAACTGCTTCATCAGCTCGACGAGATCGAGGGCAATCCGCCGGTTGGTAGTTGCGTAGCTGCCATGATCCTCCACGTAGGCGAAACCCGTGCCCACGGGACTGTCCACGATGAGAACGTTTACGTGGTGAACCCAACTCGTTTCCCGCAGTCTGCCCTCGATATCTATGGGGCCCAGCTGCTCGAAGAATCCGATGCCCGAGGAGGCCACTCCGGGTCCACCCTGCAGCCAAATCACCAGCGGTCTATGCGTAAAGTGACGGACATTGGCCGTGGTGTAAAGGAGCCAGTAGAAGAGGTGAGAGCCATTGCGCACCTCCACGTAGTCCCACTCCTGATTGCCGGGTCCCAAGCCAACTCGTCCTGAAACGACGTTCACTAATATTATATATATCGGTAATTTCCTTTCAAAATATTTGTTATACTCTTGTTTCTAGGATAAAAACAAAAACAAATGTTATTCTTGTTTTAATTTCACAGTATTTAAGGTACCATTTATTGTGAACCACTTTATGTGTTGTATTTATTTTCACTTAATAATCTCTTAACATGCCACCGGTTAAAAATATAAAGACGTACCCACCTTGCACCCAATAGAGGGAAAGGAAAAGGCACAAGGCCAACACCCAAATACAATTTTTGTTCAGACTGAGCGGCATATTAGGAACACAATTCAACGGAAAGAGAAGTGGAACTAAACTGTCTGCCTCGCCGGGGAATGCGCACTGTTCTGCCGCAGTATTTTGGCCGCATGCTAATTATACTCTGAAAAACATTTCATTTTCCCAGAAACAATAAAACCGGAAAAAGTGATATGATCGAAAGTCGAATTACCCTTACTTTGGTTTTCACAAATTTTCAATGAAACGAATATATTAACTTTAAGGACTTCTATTTATTGAACATTTAAAAAGTACATTTTTAAAAGGGTCATAGATGCTTCTTATAAAAAGGGTATTAAGAGCAGAGCCATGGTGTCTGCTGGCCAACTGCAAAGTGTAGACTTCTAAACCAAATCAAATTTATTTGTTCACTGATATAAAGTAAACATTGACCCCCAGTCAAGGGAACCACCCATTTTGGCTTTGCATTCGGTTGGGACGTCAGTAGAAAATACTGAAAGTGGGCATCTGGCAGGCGATGCCTTCTCCAGGTGTAAAATTAGATTCAAGATTGTTTATCTGTTTGAACCAATAAGTTTATCATTTGCATTAAACCAGAATCATCGGTGGATTCGCTGTCATCATATTGAGTGACGGACTTGAGAACATACTGCATGGCAGTTGGATTGTCGGATGGTGCCAAGTGACCCGACCTATTGATCCAATACATTCCGAAATTACCGCCGACTTTTTCGTAACCTTGAAGCTTGCCATCTACCACGATGGCGGTGCGATCGGCCTGAAGATATTCCGACTTGTTATTCCAGGTCCAGTCCTTGATTAAAGCCAAAGTGGCTGAGGTGGGCACCAGTGCATCCAGCTGAGCGGAATAAATATTAACCTTAACGGAGGTCTCGTTGAGCAAGCGGGGTACTTGAAGGAATATAGAAGTATTATAATTATTTTATGACATTATTGGTGACACCCTTAAATAAATCTGTCCACCACTCACTTGCATTTATGTCCGATATGAGACGATCTCCGTGCAGGATGGTCAGTACATCAAAGACCTGGGACGCATAGACACTGCCATTGATGTGCAGGGCCTCACTCACATTCTGCTCCATGAAGCGGTTCAAGTCGTCTCCGTAGCCGTAGGTGCGATCCTCGCTGGGATCCACATGGGTTTGCGTGTTGTACAGGTAGATCCCGCCGGTCAGCCGCTGCATAAGTTCGAACCACTGAGAATACTCATCCGTGGCATTAGAGAATTCGTGTTTTTTGAGGGCGCTTAGGATGCGCTCCTCCTGGGCATCGATCTCCGCCACGCCATCCTCATCGATCAGACCGTTGACGAACAGGTACTTGGAGTGTTCGCGGCAGATGTGCCGCGTGGATATCCAAGGATTTCCCATGGTCACGGACTTGAGGACTCCGGGCTCGGCCAAATCACCAGCTTTCATTGCCTCATTCAGTCGAATGGCCAAAGCGGGGCCCATTTTGCCACCATAACTCTCGGTGAAGATGTGAAGCGGAACACTTTTGAACTCCTTGTGCAACTTATAGAAGTGCAGCATGAAGGACATAAGGTCGTCGATCAGTTCCTCGTTGTTTTTCACTATGAGACTAGTGTTGTCCGCATAACTGTAGCCCGCTCCCACTGGATTATCGATGAACAACACATTGACGTGCTGCACGAAGTTTCCCTCCCGCGGTTCTCCATTGGTGTCCACGGGTCCCAGCTCCTTGAAGTTTCCCAGGGCCGAGGAGGAGCCACCTGGTCCGCCCTGGAGCCACAGGACCAGCGGTCGTTCCGTATAGCTGCTCACATTGGCCGTCGTGTAGTAGAGCCAGTAGAACATGTGGGCTCCCTCGCGGACGTCCACGTAACCCCAGTCCTGATCTCCAGGACCAAGTCCCTTGCGGGCCTGCGAAATCCCGAGCAGGAGGAGTACGATCGCCAAGGAACCGCACCACATTCTCAGAACTGTGTTAGAAAACCACTGGAGTCTGCGAAATCGGATTTGGGGCTATTTATCCGGCTAGAGAGCATCTGAATTTCCACACCGGATAAATCGTGACCTTGAATTCAAGATGTTCTCTTTTTGCTTGTATTTCTTTTTGAAATATAAATTTCCCTTTTGCTTACATTCGGAAACACACCCTCTGCGATCGCATAAACTTGGACTTACCTTGTTAAAAAGTGAGGCAATACTTAAAAAAGATAAACAAAATCGAAGAACATTGCTTTTTACAAAACCCTACTATGTGATCACCATTTGTATTAACTGTAAGTATTATGAGTATTTAAGTAACCCAAAATAAAAGGTATCTCAGTGTCGAATAGTCGTAGTGAATTGTATATTTTGTTTTATTTTATTTAATTGGCCACGACTACGTTTCTCTTTTTTGTTTACAGATCACCAGCAGGAGCCCCACATTCGCAAGTTCAAGTATAAACATTTAGACCCAGCACTTTTGTTAATGAAACAAAGAGTAACTTTTTACTTTGTTTCCAAATATACAAGCTTATAGAAAATTCTCAAATCTTTAGATGGGTTATATAATATATGCTCTGTTCCAAGTTTGCTTTAACGAAATTCATATGTTCGGTTACATAAAAATATAAATTGTTAAATAATAAATACAATTTTAATTAATATTGTAGAAGATATGTTAAAATGCTATATTTTTAAATTAATCAGAATATTTTTTTGGAAACTAGCGCTTTTTAACATACTTTTGGGATGATAATTTTTATTTTACTTACGTGTGGCATATTTTTTGATGGTTTTTAAAATATGGTTTTCGCTTTCAAATATTTTTCCCAAGTTATTTAACAAAGAATTTTTCGTACTTACATTTTGATTACGATGATAACAATTGGTTTAAAATTTCCGGTTGCGGCAACCCACCCACCATTTTCACTTGTTTTAACCTGCAGCTTGTCTGCTTTTCATGTCCAATGCCGGTGTTTTTATGTCGTAATTGTCAAAGTTAAAATTGCTTAATTTCAATCTCAACGCGTCTGGAACAATGGACAGTGGTCCTGTGGAAGCCAAACGAAAAAAAAAAAATGGAACCGACTGTCCGAAAACCGGGGAAAAAGGAATGGGAAATGAATCCGATTTCTGTTTTCTGTGGCTGCTCCCGGAAAAGTAATTAACAAATGTTTGTTTGTTCCACGCAAGTCAAGAGCAGGAAGGCAAAAAAGCTTACGATGCGAGCGGTTCCTTCGTCCACGGTCCTTTCGACTGCTTTTGACAACGGCAATTGGTTGCGACCCACCAGGCCACCCAACAAGCACCGCCCACCAGCAGCCACCACCCGCAGTGCATCCCATTCAACCACCAACTGCCAATTTTGACCGGTTCGCAGTGCACTTTTAATGAGTGCGCCACCTGGCGGCGGCGGTTGTCAACGAAGACCAGTTGACGCTGGGGGGCGACCGCAAACGGAAATCAATTTGCCACGGGAGCAAAACCAAAATTGCCAGTTCAATGCGTTTTCGATTGTCCATTAAGCAGCTCCTGCAGCTCGCTTTTTGCCCGCTGCCAAAAGTCATTTTCAAGCAATTGGCCCGGCTGCCAGAGAAATCCTGCAGATACAAACACCACTGATGCAGAGAGGCTGAAAGGAGTTGGGTATTCTCAGATACATTTGCCCCAGGCTTCCTTCCCATATAAATTTTACAATTAAAACAATAAAAGTTTAACTAAATAAATGGATTTTTCAATCTGTTTTGTTTACTATTAACCAAAATGCATACAAAAAATTCAAAAGTAAACAATTTAGGAGATTTAAAAACTCTAAAAACGTTAAGTACATTTCTGGAACGCAAAAGGTTGGATGTATGCACATAGGTCCTGTACAGTGGGCGCGAGCAGAGCACTCAGATGAACAATAAATTGTTGCCACAGTGCCTCACCCTGGGGCGCCTCGGAAAGCAGAAGCTTAGCAACGAGTCGGGATGCAGATTCATTCGAGTGCGAAATTGCAAGCTGCAGCTACAAGGCATTGGGACAACCCAGCCACCACCGAGCCCACGGTGCACAGTGGGTGTGGCCGAGAAATCAAGCAAGCACACTGATACAAACGAACACTAGTATAGCCCATTTGACGCTGTTTTTCATGTCACTCCGCCAATTGTGACTCCAAATGTTCGTCTCTGTCGCTGGCAGTGCGTTGTTTTTGTCACGTAAATTACAAGTTTTTCATTTGCGTTGCGGCTTGCGAACTTGGCCCTTAATTTCTCGTCGTTTCTGCTGTTTTTACCGCTGACACTGCTATAATTTACACTTCTCCAGAAAGTGTCGAAAAATAAATGCTGGAAATGGTAAAAGGCTGAGTGGCAAAACAATGAAATTTTTGGAAAGTTAAGATTTCTCAAAGATCTATTGCATACGGTACTTTAAAGTATTGAATCGGTTTGAAACTATAATGTTTGATATTAACACCACTTACCTTTTTGCATTAAGAAGTAGAATACACCGCATATAAGTGATCAAATAAAACCATCTTTATTTGGCTTCTATCAATATTTCTTACGCACACTTTCAACTTAGGTTCACACTAAAGTTAACGCTATGGCTAAACATTTAAGTTGTACAGTTTTTCAAACAGACACAGACGAACAGAACAATGAATCTGCCCAGAAACCACAATCTTAACGATAAATCCTCGACCAAACCCAACGAAAGCAAACATTTAGAATCCTGCTTAGAGAGTAGGTACATAATATACATACATATAATATATGCCTGGTGAGTATGCGATGCCTATTTACACTTGACTTAGGGATAGAGGAGTACGGGTCTTTGGAAATGCATTTGTCTTTACAGTTACGTACTTAACATTAGGTATAGGTATATGTGAGTAGGTATATTCGGTATGCTGAGGACCTTTCACTGTTGATTTGCTATTCGATTTGCTAAGTATGGGTTCCATAATTGCCGAGCCCGAGCGGGGGATTCTCTTCCGTGCCAAAAGCCCGCCTGAAGTCCATCTCTCTTCTGCCAGGGGCCAACTTATCACCGCTCCGCCCATCCGAAATACCGGATCCCCAACAAAGTCCTCAGCCAAAAGCTTGGCCACAGGACCAGAAGCAGAATGGGATTCCAGGATGCGATTCCAGCAGCCGTATCTAGAATAAAACAGAACCAAAAAAAAAGGAGATTGTTTTAGCCGGGGCAAGAGATTGAAATCCGCTTCGGAAAGGACACCCGCCGGTCAAATTAATCTTTGAATTAATTGCTTCCAGCTTAGCGCAGAGCATTAATAAATCGCCGCCGGTCGGAGACCCACACACAAGGATGCGAATCGGGCTAATAAGGTGTTCGGTCCTTTTTCGCTAACTTTGATTTAATGCCTCCCAGTTTATCATTGTAATGGCGTGCGTGCAAATGTATCCCCTGTGAATATGTTTGGCTTGTAAAAACAATCAGGCCGGGATCTGTGGGCTCATCTGCCTGCTGTTGGGGCGTGGTCATTGGCTATATGTGGGCTAATTTTTAAACAGCAAGTGCAGACCAAGCTCACCTAATAACGACCGGAAGTTAATCAATTGCGATTGCCTTGACAATAATAAATGGGAATGAGTTTTGCCGGAGAATCAACAATGTGAATGTGATTTCTTTCGTTCTTTTGCTTAACTTTATACCTCACTTTTTAAGTACTAAAGAAGTGTTTAAACTGGCAGCAAACTCATTGTTTTTAATTTATGCTGATTTATTCTGAAATTTAGAAAGTTACTCACTTGAATGAATCAAGAACAGTTCGTTGTGCTCATCCACGTCACCGGGCTGGTCAAAGGGGTACATATTCATATCGGGAGATCTGCCCGAAGCCAGAATCCTGGGACGATCCTCCTCTATCATTTTCTCGCTCTCCTGGGCGTAGATTTCGTGAATTCGAGCCGAACATTTCAACTGTGAAAATGAATGATTCTGTTGAGTGTTTCATCTTTTAAACGGAATACAAACACACCTTCAAGCGACCCTTGATGAAATGATGCACAGTCACTACGAAATTGATTTCCAAAACGGCCGACTCCAGGTGCTCCGCCAAGTGGCGCTGAACATCGTAGATGCGGAGGTAGTTGGGTGGCACCTGGATGTCGTTGATCCACCAGGTGAGATTCGCCGCCGGCTTCGAGTAATCCGATGAACAGTTGCCATTCACAACGTCGCCCAGACGGTATCGTGAATGGATGCCAGTAATTATGGGTCGTTGGGTGGGCAATTCTGTAGCGAAACACGCTGAAAGTTAGTGGCAGGTGGGCGGATTAGCCCCGATTACTTACCAACCACCTCCATGTCGGCGGCCACGATGGAAGTATCGAAGGTGGGTGCATCCGCGGACACTTCGCAGGCGAACTTGCCGGATATTGAGGTGGGAACATTTCGCAGCAAAACGTGGCTGGCATTCGATTGGGTGGTCTGTCGTTACATTAAATATTGATGGAACCTTAATTAATTGTTTTTTTTAGATTAATTGTGTTTAAAAAAATACATACAACAAAATCAATCAGCTTTCGGGGTTCAAATAACGAATAACGTATAAAAACTATTTAAGTAAAAATGTAATGCGGTATGTTTTAGATTTATTTGCCCTTTCCGCAACCTATTAAAGTTAAATGCTGATATCAAAACACTCAATTTGTTTTAATAAACAGACAATCGCTTCGCATACCTTCAATAAAATTAATTGCGTCAAGTTAAACAAAACCTATAAAGCCGCAACCCGCAGATATTTACTTTCTGCGTTTACGTAAGTGCTTACATAAGATAGGCGTAACCTTCATTGCTGCCCACCGTAACTTTTTAATATATACTTTTTATTGTATGCGGATTTTGTCCTTTTGCAACGTCGTTTTTAATATCGAAATGTCAGCAAAAGTCAACAATAAGAGCGCAGCAAATGGAAGTCAAAATTGTTAATTAAAACTTTTTAACATGCATAAAACAAACATGCATGCACACATGAACATCGAAAACAGGTCGATTGTTTACACAGCCCCCTGCTGCAGTTGCTGCTGTCGTTAATACCATCAGCAACATCCCAGCAGCAACAGCAACACCAACAGCAGCAACAGCAACAGTGCGGCAGCAACATCGACAGCACGGCAGCAACAAAGAATCCCATCAGCAGCACTTTGCCTTCAGTTATTTAAAGCAATTTACACTGGCAGCTCTTCGTTTTCCTTTATTTTTCCCAGTCCCTGCCTTTCAGTTTCAATAAACTCCATCATCGTCATTATCAACAGTCTCCGAAGCACTAAGCGTGTGCTACCAAAATAGCTATTTGCTAGCCATTAAGGTTGGCAAAAAAAGCACAAAGAAATTGCTCAAACACAAAATATTGCTATACTGCAAAACCGCTTTGAATCCTATAATAAAATAAAAAAAAAATTAAAAAAAAAAAACAATTCTTAATCAACTTTCAAGCTGTCATTCAAAGGTAAGTCATTGATAAAAAAAACTGAATAAACTTAACACACAAAAAAATTAAATAAAAGAAAACTACCAATGTTCTTCAACTGTATTGCTTTTTAGCACCCAGAAACTGATCCCTTCCCATTTCACATAAATCCCAGCTAAAAGGTAACAACTCTGCACTTACCTCGACATCGATTTCGTTCGTTTTGGTGAATATCTTCCAGGCCGGATTCTCCTTCGGCGTGTAGCGATAGAATTCCCGTCTGCCGCGGTACCATTTCACCGTATAGAGCGTGTCGTTCTCGATGTCATAATTGCAGATTAAGAGCGCATTATCGCCGCGCTTAACGGCGGACGGGATGCGAACGTTGACATTGCGCAGCCCCACAGTGAAACCTGGAATAAGAGGATGGCACGGAAGCGGTGTAATGAGTTGTTGCCATGGGATTGGAGTGCGGAGTACAGCAGCCGGGAGCGGCTTAAATATGACAAGTTATTGTGGCTTAATTATGATCCCCCTGAGGATTACACGGGACTTTACGCGCACGGCAGCAGCAACTTAAACTGCTCCCCAACCAAGGGGTAAATCATGGGAAATAATCCCGAAAATAAACATACCTTAAACAGTCGAATAAAACACATCATTCGTATAGCTTCAACATAGAAAATGATGTGGTTTTTAAGTCCACAGAAGAGCTACAGGAAAAATAAAAAAATTCCTAATATTTAAAAAAAAACTTCGGGAAAAAATTTCAATTTTATTTTCCAAAATATTTTGTGTATTAGCTATTTTTTGAACAATTTGCATAAACATTTTTTGTTCAGTGCGCAGCTCATCATAAGACATGAATAAAAAGTGGGTCAACGACCATGAAAACGCCAAAAACCCACCAAAAAAACCAAAAAAAAAAAACTCCACAATATCAATGGCCCGCGGGTGAGAAAGAGACAACCGGAAGAGCCGCAGTCAAAAAGCTGATTATAAAACACAATTGTGCGATCAGCAGTTGGAGCTACTGCCCCAAGCTGTTCGCCTGTTCAGCGAACAAAAGCTTCCTAGAAATATTAAAATCGAAAGTGAATGCTTTACTTCGGGGGTCCATTCCTCTCGAGAGAGCCGTAAATCATAAAGGGGCCCGACTTTATATTGTTCAACCATTGACAACGGGCAGATCTGCCATGTAGGAAATCGAGTTGGGGCAGCCGACCAGGGACCCAGAAATTTTAGGTACAATTCTTCTAAAGATTGCTGGGCAGCTCCCCGAGTTCATTGCCCTCGGGGGAAAAGCAAAGATTTCGTAGCTGCTAGCACATTATAACAGATGACGTCACAGAATGAGTGGTAAATTATGTTTGCCTTATGGGTGCGTGGCTAGTGCTTGTGTATCAGAATTTTGGAAAGTTTTTTTGTGTGGGGAGGTATAGAAATTAACAATTTTATTCTACTTGTTTATACATAATTCATTTATTTAAAGAACTAAGAAGTACGTAAGTAGGTTTTTAAGTTCATACACTTATGTTTTGTCGGTTTTTGGTTAACTGTTTGGAAAGTTTTGGAATTATCATTTGTTGTGCGAGAGGGTGAACAAAAAGTTTGTGTTAATGTGTAAAATCCTTGTATAATAAAAACCAAAAACTCCTTGTGTTATATCAAACCAAGATTAACAAACAAATCTTAGTGCTCTTTACTGACAACCTTGACTTCTTAATAATCAAAGAAGGGTATAGAAACTGAATGGATTCCTTGTATGTCCCTTGTATCCATTCCTAGGAGTCTTTGCGGAGTCCATACCTGAGTCTGGTATCCTAAAATAACTATTCATAAATTGTAAACAAATATGTGGAAACAGTAAACCGGTTTCTAGGGGCCCAACACGCGCTGGGGTCTGTTTAAACAATTGCTTGGCCCCAGTTGGTAACTGAGTTCGTCGCCGGCTCGCGGTTCGTTTCTGGTTAACCTTGAATACTAATTGTTGTTTCACGTTGATTTTAATGGCACTCGCTGCGTACGGAGCGCGTTTTGTTGTCGTTTTGTTGGTTTGTTGTTTTCATATCAGCATAAAAATTTCATGCTGCCCGTCGTCGCAGCTGGTTTTCGTCGCTGGGCGCCGGATCGTAATAGTACGAAAAAACTAATCTCATCCGACGTGCCGGCTTTTCTAGCCGGCTACCGACCGCTGGGCAGCACAAATTTGCGTAAACAGAGCACTATTTGCTTCGCCCGATGGCGAGAAGGGTACTTTTTGGGGCGGGGAATCACGAGCGAGCATCGAACGACAGACTATTTAGAAACCGTTGCTGTTCTATTTTGGCCAGGCCAACAGAAGAGGGCCAGCAACGCTGCTGCCAACTTGACGGCACGTATTTAATTCAAGGAAACCTTGGGCTTGTCGTCTCGATCGAACTGGAAAACCTTGGAAAACCAGAAGCGGGCATCGGCGTGGAAAAAATACAAAAAAAAAAAAAAAAAACACTGCAAAGGCCCCAATAACAATGGATTGGCAAGGGGCTCATAAACAATCAAAGGGCACCTAGAACGGATAAGATATAGTAGTAGGTACCCATAATTGATAATAATAAGTTTTGAGCTAGGTGGGCATTTATAATTAGTATACTTTTTTAATTTCTTCAAATGTATACATTTCTTTGATAAGTGAACTTAAAAAGTTTTTTGTGTGAATGTTAAAGAGGAATTTTCCGGAATTCCTTCTGAGGTTTTCAGACTTATTACTTAGTTAGCCAAGATATAACATTGCTAACAAAAATAATGTAAATTAGTGTCTGTATTGCAAAGATATTTTCTCATCACTAAAAAAACCTGCCCCAAAGGCATTTTACTTGTATCTGCCTCCAAAGGACTCTTTTCCCCCTGAGATGCGCTGTCTTTTCGTATCTGTCTGCCATTTAAATACAACATTAAAACCCGCAATACGACCGACCTGCTCCGGATGCTCCATCCAGTTCCTTCTCCCTCTTCCATTCCACGACATTGTTAAGTTTCGTCACAAATAAAAACAACGAAACACAACGAAACCGAAAAGCCAACAACAGGAAAACGAGGTCACCAAAAGCGAACGGCCAACTGAAGTACGAGCCACTTGGCATTATGTTGCCCTGTTACCCACTGCCTCTATATTATCGATCATGTTTTGAAAGCGAAAGTGAAGGCGACGGTCGGACGAACCCGACCAGCTCGTCCGCCGATGCACAGTGTCATGTTGGCTTCAAGTAATTATCAAACTGAACTACTTTTTAAAATAAATAAAAAAACACTGTATCTTATGAAATAATTAAGAAATCTTGATGTGTATGTAACTGTAGAAATTGTAAAGGTAATTAATAATGAAGGAATATTTATATAAATTTTTAAATTTAAATAATAAAATAAAAAAATGATAATTTATATAATAAAATATGGATTTGTAAATAAATAAAAGTAACTAAAGGAAGTAAGTTTAACTTTTCTTTAACATTTCTTAAAGTCCAGTACTAGGGCTCCACTACTTTGCTTTAATTTTTTGACAACCATGTCCACTGTGCATCACAGATACAGATACAGATACTAATGCAGTGTGGACTGAGATACGGTTCGTTGGCCGCCGCTGTCTGGTCGCCTGGTCGCCGGGCAAAGCCGGCTATCGATTTCTACATAAAAAACGAAAGTGAATTCCCTCCGAGTGGAGTCGCCTCGGATGCTCTTTGCTTGACCCAGTTTTTGGGCGCGTTCGCCGACCCCGGAGCCCAAGGTTCAATGCTCCAAGGTGAGCGGCCGCCAACGGTGTCACGTTCAGGGCCCATCCCTGACCCACCGGCACCACCGAAACCACCAACACCGCTGATCGACGGTTGAAAGAAAAATCAGACGCCTGTTGCGCCTACCAGGCGATCAGAAGAATCAGCGGGTGGCACCGTAAAAAGTGGTCTTTCTTTTTCGGTGGTTCAATGAACCCGGACTCCAAAATTTCGGAGATCGTTGACCGCAACGGTGGTGGGTGTGCGAAAGAGACGCAGGGCGGCAGTGCGAGAAAGAAAGCGGATGAGTGAGTCCACAGTGGGTGCGAACGAGCGGGGTATTTGAAGAGAGCGAGAGGCAAATTGCTCGAGTTATCAGCGGCAGAGAAACCGCTCGCTGACACACTTTAAATGAAATCAGCTATCAAAACGACAGTGAACACTCGATAAAACTAACTAATGCATACCGAAATACTTACAGTTAAAATAAAAATTTCAAATTTATATTTAAATCATATTTATTGCGGAACTCTTTTGGGTTTATATGGCAAAAGTTCAAGTTTTGTGGTTGTTAAAAAAAGATATATATTGTAAAATTATTATTTAAATTTCCTTTGCAAATTTTATTATTTATTTTTACATTGTTAATCACATTTAATTTCTGGTAATATATTCCACCGCGCTAGTAGTGAATTTTATTCTGAAATTTGTTGCTTAGACTCGTGAAATATGTACATATGTATGTATCTACATATAGTATATATGGACAGCTGAAACCATGAAATTTGTTGCTATTCATTGAAATCGCTTTGGCAGAACGAGAGCAGCACTGGAAATGTTTATAAACTTTGGAGGGCGCCTTTCCCTCGCGGCGTAAAGCATTAATTTTTTTGTTAAATACGAAATTATAAACTTTTTGTACCAAGCGCCCAGAAACCGTTTGAAAGTCGTTTGTCGAGTGCATCTCGCACGCTCCACTCGAGTGGATAAACGCCAAGGTTGACTCGTGGGGGAAACGCTTGTGTAACTGAGTGTTGGGTTGGGTGAGGGGGAGCGGAGGGGCGGATACCCAGTTGATAAGCTATGACACACACAGCTGGAACGAAATCCACGGGGGCATTTCTCTCTCAGTGGAAGTGCCCCTAGAATTCCCGAGTGTTTCGTTCTGCGATCGTTTCCCTCGATCTGAATCCGGAAAACACTTTCCATTTCAATTGCCACTCTTCCACGCTGACCATTTATCCAAAATCCCAGGCGTTCAGTGATCTAGTGGCAGTACTTACGTTTTGGATAAAACTGTGATTTCTACAGTGCACTTACAGAAAATAATTGTAACTAAAAAACAAAGAATTAAAAAAAAAATGTTTAATTAAAAATAAATATATGCAATTGCTTACAAATATTTTCCTTACTTAGAGAAATAATAAATTAAATTCTAATAATAAAATGCTATGGGAAAAAAATGTTTTCAAGACAACTTACAAAGACAAATGTATTAACCAACCATTTTAAAAAATAATATTAACTAAATAATTTTCTTGCTGTGCACTTAATGTTTAAGCAAATTAGGCTAAAGCTCTGCGAGAGTGCCAATAAGCATATTAACTCAATGCCAGGCCCCAGGGGTATAAAAAAAGAAACAAATGTATACAGACGAGCACATA